TTTAAATATTTTATTTATTATTACTAATTTTTTATCTTTTTGAAACAGGGTCTCCCTGTAACTTCAGCTGGCCTGGAACTCACTATGTAGACCAGGCTGGCCTTGAACAGAGATCCACCTGCCTTTGATTCCTGAGTGCTGGGACTAAAGGCATGTGCCACCATGCCCATCTTTATTTATTATTTTTATTTTATTTAATATGTATGAGTATATTGCCTGCAGGTATGTAAGTGCACCCATGTTGTGCAATGCCCACATAGGCCAGAAGAGGGCGTTGGAACTCCAGTCATTAGCTGCCATGTGAGTGCTGGGACCAAACCCAGATCCTCTGCAAGAACAGCCAGTGCTGAGCCATCTCTCCAGCCCCTAAATTTTTAATAATTTTTTAAAAATAAAATAAAAAGGCCCGGCATAGTGGTGCACACCTTTAGTCCCAGCACTTGGGAAGCAGAGGTAGGCAGATCTCTGTGAGTTCAAGGCCAGCCTGGTCTACACAGTGAGTTTCAGGCCAGCTAGGGCTACAGGGAGACCCTGTCTCAAAAAGACCAAAAATAAAATAAAATAAAAGTGATATTTCCACCATAATATGAAAAATGATCCTCCTCAGTCACTCAAGCTTCAAAAGTGTGATCAAGATTAAGGCTTGTCCTGAAGTAATATAACATAATCACCATCACCCACACCAGGCAGGGATGGAACCCAGGGTTTTGCACATGCTAGGCCAGCACCCTCTACCATGGAGGCATGCCCAAGGCCCCTCATTGAGAGATTCTAGATAGGACCCCAGACCCTCACTGGTGGAGTCTAGATAGCTGCTCTACCACAGAGCCACACTCCCAGCCCCTCCCTGAGGAATTCTAGACAAGCACTATACCATTGAGCTACACCCTCAGCCTTGAATTTTATTTTATTTTAAAAAATCTATTTTTTAAATTTTATGTGTATGAGTGTATTGCCTGCATGTATATAACTGCACCCATGTTGTGCAATGCCTACAGAGGTCAGAAGAGGGCATCAGATCCACTGGAACTGGAGTTGGGATGATTTTTGTTAACTACCATGTGGGTGCTGTGAATCAAACACACACACACACACACACACACACACACACACACGTCTTACAGGTGGTTCTCTTAATCACTGAGTCATCTCTCCATCCCCCCAGCCTTGAATTTTTAGGACAACCTGAAGTAAGGGACATAGGAAATGTAAGGGCAATGTCCCTAGCACTCAGCAGAGCAAAAAACATGGCTTTGTTGGAGTCAGGCAATGGCTGCGTCAGGCACCCCCAGCCGTGGGCAGGAAAGCTTAGAATGGCTTTGCCAGAGCCAGACCTTCTTGTCCTGCCCTGGAAGGAACTAAGTCAAGGCCTAGTGTCCTTGGAACAGAACTGCCTTGTCCAGGACCCCTTGTGCTAAATGCCTCTCCCACCTTCCACAACACTTTCAAAGACCTTCACTCTGGGAGCCTCAAAAGTCCCAAACACACCAATGGACAATAGGGATGTTCCTCCTATAGAATAGCAGGTCTCAAACAGCGTCCTCCAGCGGAGGACCCAGGCATGGCATGGAACAAGTATACCTCCCAGAGAACCAACTAGAGGGTGGGGCACAAGTAACAAATAGGGAATGGGAGTTGGGGATACAGCTCAATGGTAGAGCTCTTGCCTAACACATACAAGGCCTCAGATTTGATCCCCAGAACCCCAAAACCAAATGAAATAAAACAAATAGAGGGTGAGCATTTCATGAGCAAAATGAGGGCTTCTCCCAAACTCAAAGATTTTGGAATATGTTTCAGCACTGTAGTGGCAGAGGCAAAGGACGGCATCATCCATTTAGATGATAGCTGTCCCCAGTATCTATTTTCTCTTCTTCCTATTACTCAGACAGCCAAGGGGCGGTGGGATGGCTCAGTGGGGAAAGGTGCTTGCCAACAGGCCTAATAACCTGAGTTCAATCCCTGGGGCCCACATGATGAAGGAGAAAACTGACTCCAGCAAGTTGTTCTCTGACCTCCACATGCACATACACACATACACACATATGCACACAAAATAAAGAAATAAGAAGCTAAGAGCACTGGCTGCTCTTGCAGAGGACCCCAGTTCAGTTCCCACCTATAACTCCAGTTCCAGGGGATCTAGCACCCACTTCTGGCCTTCTCTGGGATTGTACACTTACATACAGGCAAAACAATCATACACCATAAAATAAAAATAATTAATTAAACTAAAGACAGTCAATTTTGGGGCCCGGCGTGGTAGTGCAACCCTTTAATCCCAGCACTTGTGAAGCAGAGGCAGGCAGATCTCTGTGAGTTCAAAGCCAACCTGGTCTACATAGAGAGTTCCAGGCCAACTGGGGCTACTGAGAGACTCTGTCTCAAAAAGACAGACAAAAGAAGGAAAGAAAGAAAGAAAGGAAGAAAGAAAGAAAGAAAGAAAGAGAGAGAGAAAGAAAGAGGGAGGGAGGGTAGAAGCAAGCCAATTTTTATATGTCCAGGTAGAGTCAACATCATACACTTCCTTCATAGCAATCATGACATCAGAATTACATTCTGACCAGTGGGATGGAAATTCAAGCATTGTCTGTAAATTTCCAGATAATGGCCTTAAAGGGTGTGGGCATGTCAGTCAACCTTTCCCGCCTGCCTTCCTATTGGCTGAAATACAGATTATAGTCACATGCTGAAGATGGTAAAGCAAGATACTATGTGAGAGTTAACAAGATTCTGTGTAAAAGAAACTGGTCCCTGATACCAAGTACAATGTGTCACCCTTGCATGGCTGACTTCTGAGTTTCTTTTTAAAAAGCATTATTTATTTTATTTATGTGGAAGGAGCAAATGTATGTGCCATAGGACATATGTAGAACCAACTTTCAGGAGTTGGTTCTCTCCTTCCACTATGTGGGTCCTGGAGATGGAATTCAGACGGTAGTATCTGCAGCACCTTTACCCACTGAGCCATTTTCCCCACCCTTGCCCTTTTACTCACTAGTTGTGTACAAGCCGTCCTGATTTAACCATAACTAACCCCTACCCCCAAGCCCATAGATAAATCTTTTTCCCTGTCCCCGGCTTCACCCGGAAAAACTCATAATTACAAAGGTCAAGAGATAACCTGCCTAGTACCACCTGTTTTGGAACAATGTGACAAGAGCCCATCAATAGCAGAGTCCTTCTGGGTCAAAAGTTGCAAAGCCCCGAGACTAGACAGAACTCTTCAGTCGTTCCCCGTTTCCTTCTATCATATTAACAATCTATGACTGTTTGGCTCAGAAGCAGCCTCCAGCCCTTTTCTCCTTCAGGAACACCTGCTATCCATCTTTCTGTCCCTCACTCCCACCTACAGCTGACGTGCTGGGAGCTGAAGGGAGGAATGTGGTCTGGCCGCTGGAGAGAACGCAAAGGGCGGAATGCCAGAAACCTTGGTGCTCACATAGGGAATTTAGGGATGCTTGAAGGGTGGGGAGCAGAGAGCCAGAGAGATTTGGGAAGACCTAGAGAGGGGATGATCTACCATTCCCGTGACCCTAGCCCAGTCTCCAAGGCCGGAGGAGCCGACTTTGGCGCCACCTGGTGGTGAGGCCACCGAGTCTGCACAGACTCCGGGCGCTCGAGCTGGCCTGCAGGTGCGTGGCCCTGCCTGCAATGGCCTGCTTCTCCCAGGACCAGAGGACCGGGGATGTCGCAGCTTGGAGAGCCCAAACCCCGCGCGGCTGGACTGGATTCGACTCTGCACTGGGACAGATCCCGCAGACCTTCTGCAAGACAGCGCGCCCGAGCTCTCAGCCGGTGACAGACCGGTCCCCCCCGACACAGTGGGCGGGGGGGTGGGGTGGGGTGGGCGTGGCGGCTACTGAGAGCGTGCGTGCGCGTGTCCCCCTCACTCCACGCACTGCCCGCACCGCGCGTGCGCACGCACGTCCCCACGCTCGTGGGTGAAGGCCAGTCACCCACGCAGTGGCCTGCAGTCTCTCAAGCCAGATGCCCTCCCGTCTCCCCCGGGGGGAGCCAGCTGTCCTTCCTGCGAGGTCATCTCACGTGGGCACAAAACTGCCCGGTTTCCACCGTCACCTCGGCTGTGGTGACAGCACCGATCCGTGGGTGATTCCCTAGAAAGTCGGGTACGAGTGGGAGGGGGGGTCTGTGGGACCCTGAGCAGGCTGGGGGGCTCCAAGGTCAGGCCTGTGCCACCTGCTGGCCACAGCGACCAATGAAAGCTTGGTCTGGTGATGTCATGCCCCGGCTGGACCCTTGTGATGACAGCATCCGAGGTCACCCGTCAGGGGAATCAGCTCAAGCCCACCCACGAGAGTTCCGGAAGTTTCCATTTGCTGCAACCAAGTGCAGCCTCGCCCCGCAACCTTCTGCTCTACATTGGCTTTCCTTGTTGGTTGACCTCGTGTCACTTCTCCCCCACTCCGGGGGTCTCCTTCTCCTAGGAGGAATGTCCTGTGTTCCATTATGGGTTTCCACAGGTGTCCCTTCATCCATGTCACATGTCGTCTTTTCTCCACCAGTGTCACCCTAAGGGGGCCCTCAGCCACGCTCCCCCCTTCTTGGCTCCTCCTCTACCACCCCCACCCCCGGCTGTGTCAGGTTACAGATGAGCACAGATTAGGCCCCCACTCTCTGGAATGACTTCCCCACCCTCTGAATTAGAGCTGTCAGTGTGTCTTTCAGTCTATGAAAGTCGGTTTGTCCCCGGCGCATCACCCCACAGGACACGGCCGCCGGCGTGTGCAGTGTCTGGTGTCTCAGCAGGCTGCTGTCCATCTATCTGTCACGTGGGTGTCTGCCCGGTCGCTGCGGGTCTCCGGGTCGTGTCTGTCTGCGTTGTCTGTGAGTCTGTCTGAGCCTGCCGGTGGAGTGTGTCTGTCTCCCCCTCCCGCGCCCCCGCCGCCTCCCCGGGGTCTCCGAGCTTGGAGGGAGGGACGGGGAGGGGAGGTGACAGCCCTGGGGGGAACAGGGAGGGGCGGGGGCGGAGACAGTGGGCGGGCGGGGGCGCAGTGCGGCCCGGAGGGGTGTGTGCTGGGGGCCGGAGGCGGTGGCTGTCACAGTCGGCTCAGCCTGCGCCAGGGAACATTGACCGCCTGCAGCTCCCAGGTGAGTCTCCCAACCCACCCCGACCCTCCACCCACTGGGGCCCACTCGCATCTTGGGGGAACCCTGTGATCCTGGAACGATCAAAGCACCCCCCCACTAAGAAACAGAGTCCCTCTCGGGGCCTGCCCAGAGACGCCCCCCATGCCCGGCACTCCTGGGTAACTCTTCCCTCGCCGCTCCCTGCATACTTAACTGATGCTCCCTGGGCGAGCCGCTGCCTCTCACTCCATTCCTGCAGGGACCCACCCCGACCCCGAGCGCCCCTTCCCCACTCTCCCCCAAGTCCGGAGATATTGGAAGACGCCCCCTGTTTGGGGCGGAGCCCAAACTACGCGAGTTAGTAGCATCCCGGCTACACCACCCTCCAGTCCCGGAGGCCGCGACCCCAGCGTCCCTGCGCAGCCTCTGCGCAGCCCCTGCGCAACTGAGCCCTCATGCCAGGCCCAGGACCCCCCTACTGTGGAGACTTCGTCTTTCTTTCAAAAAAAAAGCGGAAGCCCCGAGTTATAATTAGCCCCACTCGGGTTTCCTAGCTAATCTCCAGCAACGCCACCATCCCCGCCCTGGTCCAGGCCACTACGGCTGGGTGATGGGTGACCGCGGGGAGAGGGGGGAGTTCCGACCCAGGGAATTTTGATCTCTTGGCTAGCGGCGCCGGAACTACAACAGCTGTGGCCTCCAAAATAGCGCCCCTGCCTTTGCAGCCGGGATCTCCCGAGCTCCGGGAACACAAACGTCCTGGCTGGCCCTTCAGTCCCCTCTGTGATGTTCAGTCCCCCACACCCTCCACCCCCTACCCCAAGCTCCTGGCGGCGGGGAGCGCTGGCCTCTTCTCGGTCTTTACTGACCCCCGCTGGCGGCGACGTGCGCTGCAACATGGGGGCTCATGGTAGGCGGAGCTCAGATTCTTGGGGAGCCCCTCAAAGAACTGGCAAGACAGTTGGCTGGAGTCAGGCGAGAGGGGTGCGGCTGAAGAGAAGCAAACCGGTACCAAAGCGCTGTACCAGGAAGAAGATGAGGCGGGACAGGGTGGGACCGGGTGTGGACTAGGTAGGATTTGGGGTGCCTCAGGACCTGGGGCTCTCAATACTTTGAATGCCCAACCCACTCCCCGAGGGCCTTGGCTTTTGCCAACCCAGGAGAGACTTGGGCTGCTCTTTCTTGCCACTTGCAAGCACCCGGATCAACCCCGCCCGTCTATAAGGGCTCCGCCCCTGTCCTGTGGCCTGTTCGTGGACTGCGGCCTTTCCAACACTACACTGTATGCAGTGGGTCCCAATCCAGGGCACAGAGGCAGGGGAAGGAGGTGAGAGGTGTTTGGAGCCTGTTGGTCAGGGGAAGGTATGCATTAGCAGGCCTTATCTGTATTCTCTGCACTTGGTCTGCTATGGCTGTACGTGTCTGATCTGGCTTCCCTTGGGTCTGTCTGCCTGTGTCTTCTAACTTGCCTCCATTTCTCCCCTCCCTTTGCCAGCCTGCCCCACCTCTTCTGCAGTTCCTTGATAACCCTTGAGCAAGACTTTTACTTAATCTAAGCACTGCCTCCCATCTTCTTCACGCTCTATGTTTCTTTCTCCCAGCAGACACTCGCCTGTCCTGGCAGTCATGAGGCCCCCCTGGTATCCCCTGCACACACCCTCCCTGGCTTCTCCACTCCTCCTCCTCCTCCTCTCCCTCCTAGGAGGAGGGGCAGGGGCTGAGGGCCGGGAAGACCCAGAGCTGCTGGTGAGGGTTCGAGGGGGCCAGCTGAGGGGCATCCGCCTGATGGCCCCTGGGGGCCCAGTCTCGGCTTTTCTGGGTATCCCCTTCGCAGAGCCACCTGTGGGCCCTCGTCGATTTATGCCACCGGAGCCCAAGAGGCCTTGGTCAGGAGTGCTAGATGCTACCACCTTCCAGAATGTCTGCTACCAATACGTGGACACCCTGTACCCTGGGTTTGAGGGTAGTGAGATGTGGAACCCCAACCGGGAGTTAAGTGAGGACTGCCTGTATCTTAATGTGTGGACACCGTACCCTCGGCCAGCATCCCCCACCCCTGTCCTCATCTGGATTTATGGGGGTGGTTTCTACAGTGGAGCATCCTCTTTGGACGTGTATGATGGCCGTTTCCTGGCCCAGGCTGAGGGGACTGTGTTGGTATCCATGAACTATCGAGTGGGAACCTTTGGTTTCTTAGCCCTGCCCGGCAGCCGAGAAGCCCCTGGCAACGTGGGTCTGCTGGATCAACGGCTTGCCTTGCAGTGGGTGCAAGAGAATATTGCAGCCTTTGGGGGGGACCCCATGTCGGTGACTTTGTTTGGGGAGAGCGCAGGGGCTGCCTCCGTGGGCATGCACCTGCTGTCCCCACCCAGCCGGAGCCTATTCCACAGGGCTGTCCTGCAGAGCGGGACACCCAATGGACCCTGGGCCACCGTGGGTGTGGGAGAGGCCCGGCGCAGGGCCACACTGCTGGCCCGGCTCGTGGGCTGTCCCCCAGGTGGCGCTGGTGGCAATGACACAGAGCTGGTAGCCTGCCTGCGAACACGGCCAGCTCAGGATCTGGTGGACCACGAGTGGCATGTACTGCCTCAAGAAAGTATCTTCCGTTTTTCCTTTGTGCCTGTGGTGGACGGAGACTTCCTCAGTGACACGCCTGAGGCCCTCATCAATGCTGGAGATTTCCAAGGCCTGCAGGTGACTGGTGGCTGACAGGGGCAGAACTAGTTCTGGGTCTCACCCACCCCTCCCCTTCCCCAGGAACCCAGGCATAAGGGCTTACTGCAGACCCACTGTCAGAGGTCTGAGTTTATGGGTCCCAAGGCCACCACTCCCTCCCCACTGAGGGTTCAGATACCAGGGTGATTACAGGGTAAGAAATGAACTATGTTTTTTTTTTTTCCTTCCAACCCTTGTCCCTTCCTCAATCTCTCATGACTCTGGCTCTGTAATGTCCATTTCTCTATTTGTCCATCTGTTTCTGTCTATTACCCTTCGATCCTATCCCCCATCCCTCTACCGGCAGGTACTGGTGGGTGTCGTGAAGGATGAGGGCTCCTATTTCCTGGTTTATGGGGCCCCAGGCTTCAGCAAAGACAATGAATCTCTCATCAACCGGGCCCAGTTCCTGGCTGGAGTGCGAGTTGGGGTCCCCCAAGCCAGTGACCTAGCAGCAGAGGCTGTGGTCCTGCATTACACAGACTGGCTGCACCCTGAGGACCCGGCCCGCCTGAGGGATGCCATGAGTGCTGTGGTAGGCGATCACAATGTCGTGTGTCCGGTGGCCCAGCTGGCTGGGCGACTGGCTGCCCAAGGAGCCCGGGTCTATGCTTATGTCTTTGAGCACCGTGCCTCCACACTGTCCTGGCCCCGCTGGATGGGGGTGCCCCATGGCTACGAGATTGAGTTCATCTTTGGGCTCCCCCTGGACCCCTCACTGAACTATACCATGGAGGAGAGACTCTTTGCTCAGCGACTGATGAGATACTGGACCAATTTCGCTCGCACAGGGTCGGTGCTGGGGTGGAGAGGGCCTCTGAGGGTCCAGAGGAAACCTATGGATGGGGGTGGAAAAAGAGAGAAAATACTCACAAACGAAGTGAGTTCAAGGGGATGAGGAGGAAGGCAAAGGAGACTCAGAGTCTAAGACTGGAAGAGTGGAGGAGAGTCCTTAAGAGACAAAGACAGGGCTGGAGGCGTGGCTCAGTGGTAGGTTTTCCGGGCACATATGCAGGAGCCTATCTCCAACACTGCAAGAAAGACAGCTAGGGGGCTGGCAAGATGGCTCAATGGGTAAAGGAGCTTACTTTGCAAGCCTGATGACCTGAGTTGAATTCCCAGAACCCACATAAAGGTGGAAGGAGAGAACCAATTCCAGAAAGTTGCCCTCTGACTTCCACATGCACACACACACACACACACACACACACACACACACATGCACACACGCAAATAAATAAATACAGGACAGAGAAAGGCAACAGAAGACCAGTGAGATTGCTCAGTTGGTAGAGTGCTTGTCTAGCACACACACACAAAGCCGTTAGTGCAATAAAAACGGAATTGGATTTTGTGTTATCCAAGGTGAGGGTGATGTTTTGCAGAGAGAGTACTACACCTGCCCACACAGTTAAGAGCACAATCCCAGAAATTATTTTCAAATTTTTTATTATTTGTGTGTGCATGATGGGGGAGGGAAAGACCCACATGCCATAGACAAGTAGAGGTCAGAGGACAATTTCATGAAGTCAGTTCTCTCTTTCTACCTCTATGTGGGTTCTGGGAATTGAACTCAGGTTTTCAGATCTATGCAGCAAATGCTTTTACCCACTGAACCATCTCCACAGCCCTAGAAATTACTTTTTGTTTTTAGATATTTAATTTTTTTAAATTTTATGTATGTAGGTAAGTGCACCCGTGTCATGCAATGCTCATGGAGGACAGAAAAGGCAGTCAGATCCCCTGGAACTGGAGTTACAGACGGTTGTTAGCTGCCATGTGGGTGCTGGGATTCGAACCCAGGTCTTATGCAAGAACAGTCAGTGTTCTTAACCATTGAGCCATCTCTCCAGCCCCCGATATTTAAATTTATGCGAATGTGTGTGTGCCTGAGTGTGTGTATGTGCACCACATGCATACAGAGTCTTTAGAGGTCAGAAGAGGGTGTCAGAGTCCCTGGAACTGGAGTTACAGTTGTTAGCCACCATGTGGGTGCCGGGAACCAAACCCAGGTCCTCTGCAAGAGCAGCCAGTGCCATCTCTCCAGCCCCTAGAACTTATTTTTTAATGGGGGTGTGTGTGAGATGAAAATGGAACAGGAAAACAAAGGGAATGGTGGGGAACACTACAGATGATAGTGGCCCATGTTAGTAATCCCAGCATTCAGGGAGGCTGAGGCAGGGGCACTGCAAATTTGAGGCCGGACTGGGTTACATAGTGAGAGCCTGTAAAAAAGAAAAAAGGAGGAGAGGAAGAAAGAGGATGGGAGTCTCTGTGGAGTTGAAGAGGGTCCCCGCATCTTCAGTCCTCCAGGCAGCCAAGTCTCCAAAGGACTGAGATTTCCTTTTCCTTCCTCAAGGGACCCCAATGACCTTCGCGATTCCAGGTCCCCACAGTGGCCACCATACACCACCGGAGCCCAGCAATATGTGAGCCTGAACCTGCAGCCGCTGGAGGTGCAGCAGGGACTACGTGCCCAGACCTGCGCCTTCTGGAACCGCTTTCTCCCCAAATTGCTTAGCGCCACCGGTAGGCTGAGGGACCAGTTGGCAAGGGCTGGAAGGAGGGGAGGAAAATGGGGTGCAAAGACAGGGTGTAATCCCTCTGTTCTCCACCTTCCCCGCCCCCCTCCCCCCCCCCGCCAGCCTCTGAGGCTTACAGCACCTGCCCAAGACCCACCCATGGGGAGGCTACCCCCAGGCCCAGGCCCAACCTCTCCTTGTCTCTTCCCCTCTTCCTTTTCCTCCTCCTTTCCCAGCTTCTGTGGCTGTAACCACAGCCTCTTCCTCCTCTGGCCTCAGGGGACCCTTCCTCTAATGCATGGTTGGAAGGTGGGAAAGGACCCTAGCAGGGACACATTGTCCCCGCCATTCTCAAGCTAAAACACACCAACTGACAAGTCTCAGGGACCCACATCTTTGTTTAAATGAAAATGCAAGAGCCAGTATTTTTTTTTTTTAATATAAAATGATCCTTTGGAGCATGAACCTGATGGTGGGGGTGGGAGGGATGGAGAACGAGGTACCAGGGAGCATCAGCTAACAGGGCTTATAACCAGTTGCCAACCATTTCTGTATCTTCTCTTTTCCCACCAACCCATGGACCCTCCTCCCCGTTCTGGCCGGGTTCCTCCTCCTCCGACTTCCGGTCACTTTTCTCTTCTGTCCTGCCCCGCCCTACCCTCTCTCCCGATCACCCGCTGTTCTCCTACCACCCCCACGTGCCTCTTACCTCGTGTGCCCTGCGCTCACGCCTCACTTCCATGTCCATCTCCCTCCCGCCCTCCCTCATGTCCTCTTCCCACTACCCGGGCACCCTGGCCGCAGACACGCTGGACGAGGCGGAGCGCCAATGGAAGGCCGAGTTCCACCGCTGGAGCTCCTACATGGTGCACTGGAAGAACCAGTTCGACCACTACAGCAAGCAGGATCGCTGCTCAGACCTGTGACCCCGGGGGACCTCAAGCACCCCTCCCCAACCCCGTCCGGCCCCCTACCTGTATATACTATTTATTTGTGGGCTGGGATATAACACCGTTGAGCCCCAGACCCTGTCCATCCCACCCCAACTGGTCCCCCGCTCGGGGTTCCCTGCCCTCTGCATGTCTCAGGCCGAACTCCCTTCCCCGCGGTGCCTTCGCCCCTCTGGGCTGCCAATAAACTGTTACAGCCACCAGAGTCTGCGATTGGCCGGGAGGGGGCTGGGGGGCGGCCGTAGCCTGCGGGATCCGAGCGCGAGATGCGGTACACCACGCATGCGCAAGCGGCATTTTTTTCACTCTCCCCCCCCCCCGCATTGGTGCTGTCCCTCTTATGGGGCGGAGCTCGCGCCTGCGCACTGATCATCCCGAAGAGCCAAGGGCGCCCGCGCAAGTGCAGTAAGGCGGTGCCTTGTAGACAATCCGGAAGTGGCAGTCTGCTGGTGGCACCATCTCCCGCTGCAAACCTTTCTGGTAAGAACTCCGGATCCGCCGCGCCCGTCCTTCCTGTCGCCCATCCAGGTGACCGCAGTGTCGCCGCCCTGGAGCCGCTTAAGGATGTGCATGTTGGCCTGGCTCCGCCGTGCCAGGACCCTGGCCGGCTGGCCCTCCTGTCGGGTCACTATCTCTACTATCACTACGGCTGCGATGGGCTGGATGACCGGGGCTGGGGCTGCGGCTACCGCACCCTGCAGACGTTGTGCTCCTGGCCGCAGGGCCAGTCCTCGGGCGTGCCCGGGCTGGCTGCAGTACAGGCGGCCCTGGAGGACATGGGCGACAAGACCTCCGGGTTCCGGGACTCCCGGAGCTGGATCGGCTGTGTGGAGGCCAGCCTCTGCCTCCAGCACTTTGGAGGGCCCCAAGGGCGCCTACGTCACGTGCCCCGCGGAACCGGGCTCTGGGATGAGCTAAAGCATCTTTACTCCCATTTTGCCGGGGGCGGGGGACCGGTTATGGTGGGAGGGGATGCAGATGCCCAGTCCAAGGCCCTGCTGGGAGTCTGCACAGGTCCAGAAGCCTATGTCCTGGTACTGGACCCACACTACTGGGGGACTCCGAAAAACCCCAGTGAACTGCAGGATGCTGGATGGGTGAGCTGGAGAAAGGTCAGCACAGTCTTTGACTCCAACTCCTTCTACAACCTGTGCTTGACCAGCCGCACCTAAATTCACACACCCCGGACTGAGACTGTGTGGACAGATTTTCCTCAAAGGTGTCCAGCAGAGCATCCATAATAAAGTGGCACAACCCAGTTCACCGTGGCCCCAGTCTGTGTTTGGGAAGAGACACAGCATACTGAATTAAGAGACACTACTACCCAAGTGCTTTTACTGGCAGGAATGCTAACATACAGAAAAATTCTCAGCTAATGGGACAAAGCGGTCACAGGTATAGGTGGTCGTCAGTCACAGGTATAGGTGGTCGGGAGGGAGGGAGAGCAAGTGCACAGTTCAAAAGAAATCAACATCATCTGGGGCATCCAGGTCCCGATACTCCACAATAGCTCTGGGGTCTCCACGAACCATCCTGTGAGAAGAGAAGCTGAATGAGAACTGGGGTCCCCAAGTCCTAGAGGGAAGGAAGCTCCAGCATCCCCATACATGCTCACCTGTTCCGAGGCTTCCCAGGATAACCTCCCTGGCCTCGAAAGGCATCGTAGTTCCCGCGGCCAGCACCATATGGAGCATGGGGGTATGGAGGCCCTCCTGTTGGGACTGCAGGGCGGACAGCACCAGCTATGAGAAAGAGCCGGGTTGAACTGAAAACTGACCAACCACAGCCCAGCTAAGCTGCTCCCCAGCCCCACACAAACATAAGGTCCATGCATCTCCCTCCAGACTCACCTCCATAGCCCAAGATGGGAGGCCGGGGCTGACCATAGGGCATCAGGCCTTGGGGTGTCTGGTGTGGGTAGGGGAGTCCTGGGGTCAGGCCTGGGGGGAGTACAGCAGAGACAGGAACATGAATTACTGCGGGGGTGGGGGGATAGCACACACATGACTAGGTGAGGTATAAAAATTCCCAGGGAAGGACAGGGAATGATAGGACAGTCAAGGGAAAGGTGTGGCAGGCCCCCATGGACCGTATCTTACTCTGGGCAGGGCCAGGTGGCTGAGCTGGCTTAATCTCAGGCAGAGCTGGGCGCTTGGCATCAGTGAGGAAGTTGTTAAAAAATGCTACCTCCTTCTTGACCTCTTCAATCTTCTCTGCATGCTTGTTGAAGATATGTTTGCGCACAAACTCAGGACCCTGGGTGGAGAGATGGTGAGGACTGGTGTTGTGTGTTCCTTCCCTCCCAGACCCCACCCCCACCTGGATGGCTGAACAGCCTCCCCTAGTCCTTTAGAGACCTTCCTGCCCCAAGCCCACCTCCCAACCTCCTAGCCCGCCAATTCTCTTCACATCCCAGACCTTGAATTTCTTGCCACTGAGAGGACATAGCCACTTATCCTTGCCCAGTTCCTGTGTGTTAGAGGTGACAAACTTCTCTACTTCCTGTTCAGGGTCTTTGCGACCCATCTTTTGAGCCTCTTCCTCAGACAGGGATTCACGCACACTCAGCAGCGGAGTCAGCTTCTCCTCAAAGGTCTTTTGCCACTCCAGCACTGTGTGGACAAGAGGCAAAGAATGGAGAGGGAAGCTGGGACCTAGATGAGGGAGGGACCACGAGGAGACACCGATGAGATTGAGGTGGGAACTTGGAGGCCTGAAACACACCTTCTCCATGACTGATGCGATTGGGAGGCATGGGCCCCCGGACGTGGATGATGCCACAGCGGTTGGGCATCTCATCCTCATTGGGGTACTCGCAGGTGTTATAATAATCCAGGGAATGCACAATGCGCAAGTACAAAAGGAGTTTGTCCAAGACCTGAAGAAGACACGGCCACAGGGTCAGCACTCAGCCCTTGTCACCCCAATCGTACTCTGTATACCCCATGGGCAGAGCTGGGACCTTGATCAGCTTCTCATCTCGCTCCACGTTGATCTCTGCTGGGTTCCCTTCTTTGGGAGGCTCCTCAGGAGGGGGCCCCCCACTGCTCCCCAGCAGCTCCTCTTCCTCAGCACTCACTTCCTCGATCAGGTAGTCAGTGATGTTCTTTAAAATGGGGTTTTGTGAGGGCAGACTCTGGCAGGGAGGAGATGGACAGTGAGGCAGAGAAGTCTGGAGCTGCTAACCCAGAAACTGGCACACTGCAGAGGGAGAAGCCAGGACCCAGTGAACAAAACCCGGGCTTCCTATTCACCACACTCTAAGCTGTGTCCCTTCCCCAAAGTAACACATCAAGTCTATGCTGTGGGGAGCTGGAGGAGATGGGACCCCAACAGAGGGGCAGACAAGTGGGGGTGGGTCCCAGGGATCACAACAACAAGCAAATGAAGTCAGAAATGGCAGGAGCACGAGCACCGGCCACATTGGAACAGTCCCCGGGGAGTCACTGACTGTGGGCACAGGAGGCGTCCCAGGCTCAGAGGCCCAGAGCTGGGTCCTGTCATCCAGCGTATGGATCAGCTTGGCTGCCAGCTTGATGTCATTACGCACAATCTGTTTGTGCTGTGTGATGCCATTGATGTTGCGGACACGACGGGTCAGATCTCTGTTCACGCCAGGGCTCAGCTCACATTCCCGGAGCTGGAGGGACACACAATCAACGAGCTGGCCAATGGGTATCCCAGAAGGAGCAGCCCAAAAGAGAACTCCATGGTTAAATCATGGATCATAGCCCCAGAGCTTCTCCCAGAGATGGGAGTGAAGGGAGGTGCAGACAACAGACAGGGAGACCCTGGCTTGGCACCCAGTCCGACACTAGCACTTACCCGGATGTTCTGTAGATTCCAACAGATCTCTTTAATATTAACACTGCGGTCAAAAGTCACCCAGCCTCGGCGGAAAAACCTACATGAGAAAGCATGTCAGCACAGTCCTGGGATGAGGTCCATGTGGTCACTGACCTCCCTTGTACCATCCTCAAGGTGTTAGCCCCTCACCTCCTCTCCGGTTGGGGCTCTGATAGTGCCACTCGCATGAAGCCTGGGTATCTTTTACAGAGCTGCCAACAAGAAGGAAATGAGTAAACACAGAGTGACTCAGACATCTTCCCTTCTCACCCCCACTGTCTCCAAACCCCAAGGAAAGTGCCTCCAATCCTTGCCATCCAGTGTCTCCGGACCAAGGCTCTAAGGCAGAGGTTCTACATCCAAGGCACCTGAGCCTTGCAGCCCTGTCCCTAACACCAACTCGTCCACTCACAGAAATAATCTCCGCACGAGAGATGTTGGGCGCGATGTTACGCATGAAGAGGGAACAAGTCTTATGTAGGGGCCGGGGCTTACACTCCAGCCCAGCAGCATCCTTCGGCTTCTCCCGCTCCTCTTCCTTGGGCTTCTCCTTTTCCTTAAGTGACTCTTCTAGGCAGAAGGTGGAAGGAGTTAGTAAAATCGAATTATTCATTTTGGTCGAACAGTAGTTGTTACTGACCAGAGGTCACCCCCAGAACCCTTGGCAACCAGTCTCTCTCATGAATGCACTCTGTGCAGTGAAATATACCAGCCTCCTCCTTCTCCTCCTCGGCCTGGCCACTCTCAGACTCAGACTCGGACTCAGACACGCTGCCCTCGTCGAAGCTGTCATCACCACTGTGCTTCCTGTTCCGCTTCTTGCTCTGTGTGAGCAACGGGCAGGCTCAGCCAAGACCTCCTCAGGTGGCCCCAACACCCTGGCCCAGGAAAGTCCACCTTACCTTTTTGGCTTCCTTCTCCACCTCTTCTTTCTTTTCCTCTTTGTCCCCATCACCTTCAGATTTCTTTGCTTTGTCATCATTAGAACTGTCATTTTCAGCCTACAGGAGTAGATGGTCCCTAGGGTAGTCAGCCCCTCCTTCGGGTTCTCAGAACCCCAGGGTTCCAACCCACACTGAACCTACCTCCTTATCTCTACCCCCACCCACTTCCTCACCTGCTTGCCATCTTCTTTCTTCTCATCCTTCTCGCTGGCCTTGCGTTCTCCATCCCCCAGGCCTGGGCCAACACGGCCCTCCTCTTTCTTGGGTTCCCCGGGCTTGCCTGCCTGCTCCTCCTCATCCTCCTGCTCCAGAATGCGTAGATCATTCTCAGTGCCTCCTTCCATCTTAATGACAGCTACCAATGATGACAGGAGAGGTCACAACCCATGGACCCTAGCTTCTATCAAGCTGCTTCTACACTCCCCCTCCTCCCAGGACCTCCCCGGCTCCAGTCCATACCTGCATCCAACATCTTGACAATGGCATCAGCTCTGTCTATGTCCAACAGGAGAATATCAAACCAGCCGCTCTCCATGAGGGACAGGAACACCTTCAGCCGGTTCTGCAGGGCCCCCCGGGCCTCCTGCCGACGCTTCCCCACCTCATCTGGGTGATACTTCGACCGAAACCTGGCAAGGAAGCAAGCAGGGTGGGAGAAACAAACAGTCACTCAAGGCCAAAGCCAGGATGTGGGAGGGGCCCAAGAAAGGCAGGGCACAGCCCCCATCCTCACACCCACAGGTCATACAAAGGCTGGGGAGAGGGGTGCACTAGAACCACCCAACACCCCAAAAGTTTCCAGAGTTGTGCTCTGAAAAGATTTGGGAAGAACCAGGAATTGCGAGCTCTGAGTTAGGAGCATGGCTCTGGGGGAGGCCAGGGTTGGCGAGGCAGACCTGCTTGTAACCCTCAGGGGAGCACCAGTGTGAAGAGGTGCCATTTCCCAAAGCTTCAGATGGAAGCTAAGGGAACAGGAGTCCCAGAGAACCTCCCTCTCCTGGCCAACCCCAGACAACAGTCACAAGAGAGGTTCCCGCCAACTCCCTCCACCCCAGGTGGAGCCAGAAGGAAACCTAAAGTGTACCAGACAGAAAAGGCAGGTCACCTTTCTCTCCCCTTGGGAAGAGAAGGTAGTGAAGGGACAGGAGAGAGCAAAGGGAGAGGCCAAGTGCCCGCACAGCCTAGGTAGGCCCACTGGGATAGAGAGGAGGGTTGGAGGGTTAGGGTGGAGGGCAGAGCATGAGAAAGAAAACATTTTAATAGGTCCCTGGGGGAAGGGGGGAAAAAAAAGAAGAAATCAGGAGTATGGGGGAAAAAAAGAGGAAAGTGAGAAATGTGAGGAAGGCCCAGAAGTCAAAAACAGGAAACAAGGACAAGACAAACCAAGAAAAGGAAAATAGAAGTGTTAAAACAGGGAGAGAAAAAATGCAATCCAGACACACAGGGTAAATCAGAAAGGGGTGCGAGGACAGGACAGGACAGGCTGAGCAAGAGGAAAGCCGCAGGCGTCACCTCCAGGATCTTTACCTTGGCTGCTTGGTCAAACAGAGCTCAAGATTTAACTAGTGGCGCCCAGGGCCCATGCTGGCTGGCAGGCTGCCGGCTGGCTCCTGGCTGGGGCACCCGGCCCAGATGCCCCGCCCCCGCGGGCCTCCGCGGTGGGGGCCCTGACTGACTAGCTGCCTGAGCAATACATTCAGCTAGACCACTGCATTGTGCACAGCGGTGCCCTGCCTGTCTGCCTGGCCGGGGCCCCACGGTCAGCCCAGGGGCTCATGTATGGGCTGGGTATGGTGGGGGTGGAGGTGGGTTTGCTCCGAGCTCCGACGATGAGCGGGTGTAGTTCCCAGTTCTGGCTCTTTTCAAGGAGGAGGAGCAGAAAGAGGATGAGGAGGAGGAGCAGGAAGGGGGGAAAAGATGGTTGATTAAAATTAAAACATCCACAAAAGGAAAAAAAAATTTCAAATTCTTTTTCTGTCAAACGACCCTGAGATCTTGACCGTTGTCTGTCTGGCTTCGCTCATCGCCTTTTGGAGGAGGCCACGCTGGGTCCTCAATAGGATGACAGTGACCCACACCAGCAAGTGGGAAGCAATCTGCCTACTGCCCCAAGGGGTCAGGTGGCTCTGGCCAGCTGCCTGGAGATGTCCCAGTGAGGACAGAGAAGGGAGATGGGGTGGGGCGGTGGCAGTCACCCAGGTGAGGAGGCCCCACCAGCCAATGCTGTTGTCCTCCCTCCCCCGCCCTCAGGAAGTGCTGGGCTGGGGAGCACTGGAAGAGGACAGGACTGCAGCTCCCCTTGCCAGGCAAACAGGGGCACTCACCACTCCTCATCTTTATGAGCCAGAAAGAAGTCCTGCATCTGCTGCCTTCGGAAGTCCAGTTTGTAGTCATTGTACCGCTTGACAGCTTCAGTCTCGTCCACAGAGTCGTCCAGGGACAGGAGGAACTCCTTGAAGGACTTCATCACAGGCGGTGGCACACCCAGGTCGATCTCAGCAATGCTGCCCAGCCTGTAGGGCCAGGGCCAGGGCACGAAGTCTTGGTTGTGGAGGGCCAAGGTAGCCACATGCCCCTCCTCTGCCCAAAAGGACACCGCACCAAGTGCTAGTGCTACATCTCCCAAGCTCCAACCCAGTCTCCAGTAGCTCCAGCTATCCCCCCAAGCCTAGTATCTCCCTTCTCCCCAGAACCCCAGGCTTTACCTGGCCTGGATAGGTAGGACATGGTGCTGCATGATGTGGACATCCGGGTGGCCCCAGGGCTGAGGGGGGCCGTAAGTTGGGCCCCCACCCCCCCCAGCATAGGGCATGTCATAGCCACTGTGGTATGGGTCAGAGCTGTGCTCATCCCTGAGGGTGGGGGACACAAAAGTCAGACACAGGAGGAGCCAGAACCACCTCTCCAAACAGACAAGGGCCAGATGAGGGGTACACACAGAAATGTGGGCTCTCAACCAGGAGTAAGAAGAACACAGGAACACTGGGTACAGGGGATGTGTGAGGACATGAAGTAGAGAGCTTTCACCAGAGGGGAAGGGCTGGGACCCGTGGACCCCAGGGTGCAAACAAGTGATGGCACCTCACCAGTCTCGCCGCATGCGCTTCTGTGGGGGGCTGAGCTCATGTCGAGGGGGAGAGAATCGCTCCCTGCGATTGCGGTCATAGTCTCGGTACTCGCCCCGGCTGCGGCGCTCTCGCCCACGGTCCCACTCTCTGGAGATGAGAACAGGTGAGTAAAGACACAGCAGCAGGACTGCTGCCATTGGCAGAGTACTTGCACAACACCCTGGGTTTATCCCCAGCACTGCCAACAGCAGACACCATAGCCCAACAGCCGTGGTCCTTCATATACAAGGTGCCCTCCAACTCCCTATGTAGCCAAGGCTGAACTTGGGATTCTACCTCCACATCAAATGCTGAGGTTATAGGCAAAGTTTTATAACCTACTAATCTTAAAATTATTCACTGTGGGGGCTGGAGAGATGGCTCAGCAGTTAAGAGCACTGACTGCTCTTGCAGAGGACCAGGGTTCGATTCCCAGCACCCACATGATGGCTACAAACCGTCCTTAACTCCAGTTCCAGGGGAATCCAATGCCCACTCCTGACCTCCGCAGCACTGCACAACACGGGTACACTCACATACATGTAGGCAATATATTCATACACATAAAACAAAAATAATATTTAAAAAAAAATTCACTGTGCATTCTTTCTACCACTGAGCTGTGTCTCCAGCCCTGTTCCCTTCTTTATTTTAAGACACAGTCTCACTAAATTGCCCAGGCTGCCCCTGAACTCACTCCGTAGGCCAGGCAGGCTTTGAATTTGAGATCCTCCTGCCTTAGCCTCCAGATCAGTTGACTAGATCCTGGTGGGACACCTTTAATCCCAGTACTGGGCAGGGGGTGGGGGTGAGGTGGTAGGCTGATCTTGGAATTCAAGGTCAACCTGCTCTACACAGAGTTCCAGCCCACCAGGAACTATATATAGTAGCTCTGAAAAAAAGGGAAAATGAGATTATAAGCCTGTACCATCTAGCTAATTATGTGTTTTTATGAACATAACTATCTTCCTAAAAAAGAAAGCTAGTGTGAAGAGCAGCAGTTTTTACAAACTCCAAGGTCTGGCTTAAATGAAGACAGCTTCTACCCTGATAAGGTAGAGAACAGGAAAGTTCATCACCAACACAATACCATAAGAGGAAATACTGCAGTGGTCTATTCAGATAACTCGGGCTATTCTTCTGGCTACTGCTTAAGGTTAACAAAACCTTGCTATGTTGAGGGAGCTATCCAACTCCTGGGCTCAAGCAATTCTCCTACCCTAGCCTCCTGAACAACTGGGCTATCTACAGGCATGTGCCACTGTGCCCCATAAGAGGCAAGTTCTTTTTGGTTTTTGAGACAGGATCTCATTTGTAGTCCTGGCTGGCCTGGAACTTGTCTTATTTAGACCAGGATGGCCTCAAACCTACATGGATCCTCCTGCCTCTGCCTCCCCAGTGCTCTAATTACAAGCATGAGCCACACTATACCCAGTATGAGGTAGTGTAAAGGCTGGACATGATGGTGAATGCCTTTAATCCCAGTACTCTAGAGGAAGAGGAAGACAGATCTCTTGTGAAATCAAGGCCAGCCTGGTCTACATAGCAAATTCCAGGCCAGCTAGGGCTACAAGGAGACCCCTGTCTCAAAAAAAAAGAAAAGAAAAGAAAAAAGCAACAACGACGAGTTAGCTGAGGGACTGGAAATGGCACTGGCTGTTCCTGCAGGGAACCACAGTTAGGTTCTTAGCACCACCCAACAGCTCACAACCATCTATAACTCTAGTTCCAGGAGCTCTCACGCCCTCTTCAGGTTCCACCAGCACACATATGGCACACATACATGCACACAAGCAGGTAGTCATCCTCAAATTTTTTTCTAAGTTAGTTGAGGCAGGTGTGGGCAAACTGTGATCCTAGTACTTAGAAAATGGAGGCAGCTACATAATGACTAGGCTACAGTGAGACCCTGTCTCAAAACAAACAGGCAAAAAGAAGTAGTTGGAATGTTCAATCAAAAACAAAATAAAAAACAATCAAAAGTGGGGCTGGAGGGATGGCTCAGCAGTTAAGAGCACTGGCTGCTCTTCAGAGGACCTGGGTTCGAATCCACCCACATGCCAGCTAACAACTGCCTGTAACTCTGGCTCCAGGGGATCCGACACCCTCTTCTGACATGGGTGCACTTTTATACATGCAGGCAATACACTCATACACATGAAATAGAAATAAAATATTAAAAGAATAAAAATTGCCTGGCATGGTGGCACACGCCTTTAGTCCCAGCACTTGGGAGGCAGAGGCAGGTGAATCTGTGAGTTCAAGGTCAGCCTTGTCTACACAGTGAGTTCCAGGCCAGCTGGGGCTACAGGGAGACCCTGTCTCAAAAGGACCATAAATAAATAAATAAATAAATAAATAAATAAATAAATAAATAAATAGTGTATTAAGTGGTAAAACTGGAGAGATAGCTCAGTGATTAAGAGCACTGGCTGCTCTTTGCTGAGGACCTGGGTTCGGTCCCCAGGTCCAGATCTGATGCCCTCTTCTGACCTCAGCAGACATTACATGCACATGGTGCATACACAAACAGGTATGTGCATTCATACACAACTTTAAAAAAAACTACAAAATGGGATAGAGCTGTAGCTCACTTGCCTAGAAGGTTCAGTCCCTATGGGGAAATTAAACATCATATACTCGGCATGTAAGGTGCATGCAACACCCGCAGAGGCCATAAGAGGGCATCAGATCCCCTGGTACTGGAGTAACAAGACAGCAGTAAGCCGCCATGTGGGTGCTAGGAACTGAACCCAGGTCCTCTGCAAGAGCAGCCAGTGCTCTTAACTGCTGAGCCTTCTCTGCAGCCTTCACTCTGCTACGTTAAAATCACTGTTTTACCTTGCTGTTTGGCCAGTCTTGACACTTCTCATTACACAGTATCAGAATATATTCCTTGGTAGACTGTGATCTCAGAAAAGCCTAAAAATACTAGGAAGCTATCAGGCTCACATCAGTAGATACAAGTTTTTCCACAATTTTTGTTTTCACTAACAAGTTCCTCCTCATCATTACACATACTGACAGCTTTCCTCAAAAGTAACTTCCCTGAGGTCAGTTTAATGAAAACGTCTGCCTACTGCTGTGTGAAGCACCAGTGCCTGACCCTGTTTAGTAAAGATGGCATCTTGTGGGAAACTCTCAGCTCCCTCCCTGTTCATCACACAGATGCTCTTGCTTAAGAGAATGACCAGTATAGGGGCAGCTGTGTTTTTGTGCATGCTTCCCAGTGCATCATTTGTACTAGAAATAGTCAGGACTCCAAATTAAACAAAAACAAACTTCTTGGAGGACATTAAACTGCTATTTTTTATTTTCTAAGCTTATATTATTTTCATGATGTTTATGCTAAAGCACCAGCATGTTTTCTTTTTGTTTGTCTCAAACATTTGAGAATCTTGCACTAACCAAACTGCAATGTGTGCTCCTGTCTGAATTCAGGGACATACTTAATGACCTCAAGCTGTTCACATCACCTAAGGAACTCCCACTTAACTGTTTTAAAGTTAGCAAAATGTCACTTTACCTGTCACTTTACCTCCAGCACTTACTAGTGTGCCTTGAACATCAGGTCTTTACAAGCATGCCCACATAGCATGTACCTAAGGCCCCTTTGGTCCCTAGCGATACTGCATACTATAAACTCCTAAGGACAGTAACCATCTCATCCAGCTTCTAACTCAGAAAAGCACCTTTGATTTCCTTCTTTTTTAGAAAATTAACACGGAAGAGATAGCTCAGCACCCACATGGCAGCTAACAACCATTTGTAACTCCAGTTCCAGGGGACCTGATACCCTCTTCTGACTTCCAAGGCCACTGCACAGGTATACCTACCTACATGTAGGCATTACACTCATACACATAAAATAAAAATTAAAAAAAAAAACCTTTACAAATAGGAAGGATGTGTGTGTTGGTTCACACTTGCAATTTCAGCACTGAAAAGGCTGAGGCAGGAGGATCCCGGGTTCCAGACCAGCTGAATTACATAGTGAAAACCTGTCTCAAAAAAAAAAAAAAAAAAAAAAAAAAAAAAAAAGTGCCAGAGATTGGACAAATGGTTCAGTAGTTAAGAGCATTTGTTGTTCTTGCACAAGATTCAGTTCAGTTCTCAGCACTTATGCTGGGCAGCTCACAACTACCTGTAACTCGAGCTCAAAGGAGTCTAACACCTCAGGCCTGTTCCAGCACCAGCACTCACATGCACAGAGGCAGGCACATAGTGCTATGCAGGCTTAACCATTTACCAAAATCTTCAAGTACTTAGGGGCTAGACAGATGGCTCAGTGGTTAGGAGCACTAGCCGCTCTTGCAGAGTACCCAGGCACTGTTCCCAACACCTACATAGCAGCTAACAACCATCCGTAACTCCAGTTCCAGGGGATCTTATATGTGGTCTTCTGGCCTCCACAAAAAACTGAAGGCACATGGTGCTCTTACAATACATGCAGGCAAAGCACTCACATGCATAAAATAAAAATTAAAGAAAAAGAAATCTGCCAAGTACTGACAGGCAGATTTCTTTTTTAACTAAACTCATCACCCCAAACTTTTTGTGGAAATCTGCCCCCAAGTCAAGTCGCTGCCCTTATTGGTTCATTGGGTATCTAATTTTTGACACCCCTTGTTTGAAAAAACATCCACATCTACTCATCTTCATTACTTAATTTGAAACCACTTCAAAAATGTATTAAGGAAAACTTCCTAACTATAACCTGGAAACGAACACCTCCGATAGCTAACCAGGACCTGCCTCTAATCATTTAAGCTGGAGTGAAGGTATGCCTGCACTCCAACAGCAGTGTCCAAAACCAGCCTGGGCTAAATGATGACACTCTGCCTAAAAAACAAACGAAACCTAATCAATACACTGGCACTGCTCAAAGAACCCTAAGATCTCTAGCAATAAAAAGTGGCGAGACACTTATCCACTCTAGTCACATCTACGTTAGTCAATTCTCCTACACAAATCTTGAGATATAATTTATAATAAAATGCAAGCACCATACCTGGGCTGCGGCTGTAGTTCAGTGGGTAGAGTTCTTGTCTAGCATGGATTGAAGCCCTAGGTTCCATCCCCAGCACCACATATACATAGGGTGTGGTGGTGATCACCTGTAATCCCAGCACTGAGGAGGTGGACAGAGAATCAGAAGCTCAAACTACCTAGCAAGTTCCAGGCCAACCTGGGCTACATGAAACCCTACCTTTTAAATTAAAAAAAAAAAAAAAGACAAACTTCTGGTGCCGGTATAAATACTGCTTTTTCCTATTATTGGTTCTAATGCTTTGATCTGTGTACGCTTCCTTTTTGTTTTTGTCTTTTTCAAACAAGGACCCTGTAGCCATGGCTGGCCTGGAACTTGCTATGTAGACCAAGCTGGCCTCTGATCTCAGATCTGCCTGCCTTTGCCTCAAGAGTGCCTCACAACTAAGGGAGATGAGCAACTACACCTGACTTTGGGCTTTTTTTTTTCCTTTCTGTGCCAGGGTCTCCCTATACAGCCCAGGTCTGCTTTGAACAAACTTGCAGCAATCCTTCTGCTCCCGATCCACCACTAGTGTTTCATTTTAGTCTTAAAGGCATTTCGAAAATTAAGCTGTGGGCCGCTGCCTCACACCTTTAATCCCAGAAGGGAACTAAAGTCTGGAGGAAGATCTCATGGGGATCTCTGAGATCCAGGCAGCTGGAGTTAGAGAGAGAGAGAGACCCTGTCTTAAAAAAAAAATTAAGCCACAACCAGTTTTTGACCAACAAAGCAGAGACAGAAATGGTCCAAAGATGCACACTAATCAAATGCATAAAGGAAAAGAAGAAAAAAGTAATGCAAGACAGGGTGGAATGGAATAAAACGGGATGGGGTGGGGGACGCAGGAGCTAGGCAGAAGAGCGTTCAAAGCGTCTCACCGGTCATTCCAGTCGTCCCCTCGCCGTCTTTCATCTCTTTCCCGGGAACGGTCATAGTCGCTGCGCTCTCTTCGAAACTTGTCCCTGCGCCTCCGATCGTACTCATCATCACTGTCCCCCATGGTGCTGTCCGAGGAGGCCTGAGGCCCGGCGACGGGTGGACAGGGTGGTGATGCTGATGAACAAGGACCAGAGGAGGACCGGTCTCCCGGGGGCAGCACGCCCGCCTCCCTCCCGCTGAGGCCGGCCTGCCATCCCGGGCAGGGAGATGGCTCCGACAGCTTCACTGTCCCGAGGGATTCCCCCCTAGTCCACCCCCGAAGCCCCCGGGCACAGACGTCTCCTTGCGATCCCGCCCCCCGGGCCTTTCCTTCCCCTCCCCCACCTGGCCGCAGTCGGAGCCGTTGGAAGCGCGCGCAGGCGGGCTTGTTTTCCGGGCGGACCGGAGCGCGCGACGCCGGACTGAATGGAGGATGGGATGGAAACGCGGGAGACTCTCAGTCCGGAGGACGAGGAGAGACTACAGTGGGACAGCCGAGGGTCCCACAGAGCTCAGCTTTTATAACTACAAATAAGACCCCCGTGCCGGACCAACTAGTACTAAAGAGGGAGCCACCAGGGAGGATGATGGGGAAAAAGGCGGAGCCGCGGAAATCTCGCGAGGCCTCCCCAACGGGACTCGTGTAAACACTAGGAGCTACGGAGGCCGAGGTGGGCCAAGTGAGGCCTCTGGAGAGCGGTAGCTCCTTTTGAACATCAAAGGAATGTTTACTGCTGCGGAGGTCTGGGGTTTCTGTCCCCATGATGGTTCCGGGGTATGAGCTAGTTAGCATCCCGGTCTCGGGGCGTCTCCTCATCTTCTCCAGGGTGGGTTTGCCCCCTCAACGAGCTGAGGATGGGCTTGGAGAAGTGGATAGGGAGTCATGCAGAGAAGGCATCTCCCACCATTTTAAAGGCATCTCCCACCATTTTCTTCTCCCACAGAAATCCTGCCTTTACTAGTTCCACAGTATGTGGTACCTGCAAAACACGTTCTTCCTGCTTTTCTTGGACACGGGCTCCTAATCCTCCTGCAAAGGGTGCAAATCCCAGTCTTAAATCCAATACGTTGATGACATGGGCTGTATGTCACAGTCTGGAACAACCGGGATGATCTAGTGACTTGCGGTTTAAGAGCACGAAAACACCAAACCCCTTCTCACTGAATTGAGTGACGGGCTTAAGAATGGAGCATGGTCCATTCTTGCCCCCAGCATGTAAAATGTGTCTTTACAATAAAATGCATTTAAAAGTTTAGTGCAACCCAGGTGTCGCGGCACACACCTTTAATCCCAGCACTCAGGAGGCAAAGGTAGGCGGATCTCTGAGATTGAGGCCAGCTTGGTCTCCATAGTGAGTTCCAGGCCAGCTGGGGCTACAAGGAGACCCTGTCTCAAAAAGACCAAAATAAATAAATAAAAATTTAGTACAGGGAGGCTCATAGGCAGTCTTCTAATCCCGGCTACCCAGGAAGCCTGAGGCAAAGGACAGTCTGGACAATTTAGAGACCGTGGCTCAAAATACATTTTTTTGACGAGAGCTGGGGAGGGCTAGAGAGATGGGCATACTGATTTTGCAGAGGACCCACTGCTTTCCCAGCACTCATGTAGGGCAGTTCATACACAGCTGTAACTCCTGCTCCAAGGGATCTGATTGCCCTCTGCTGGACTCCACGGGCACTGTACTCACATGCACATAACCCATTCCCCCCCACACTATACACATAATATAAAAGGGGAAGTGCTGGAGATGTAGCTCAATGGTAGAGTGCTTGCCTTACATATGAGGAGAGGCCCTGGGTGAAAGAAACAAACACAGACACAGTTGGGAATACAGCTCTCAGTGATGAAGCAGTTGCCTAGCATGTATGAGGCCCTGGGTTCATTCCCCAACATCAGAGGAAAAAATATCTACACATGGTGGCATATTCCTTTAATCCCAGTGCTTGGGAAGTGGAGGCAGAGTTCAGGGACAGCCTCAACTGGTCTAGGATACATTAGATCTTGTCACCAAAAAAAAAAAAAAAAGAGCAATAATGTGTAAATATTTAGGATAGAGTTAAAGAATTTTTTTCTTTTGGAGAAAAGGCCTCACTATGTAACCCTGGCTATCCTGGAACTGAGAGATCCACTAATTATGGTATATACCACCATGCCAGGCTCAAGAATCGCAAAAGTTTTTTTGTTCTTTTTTTTGGCCTGGAACTGACTTTGTAGAACAGGTTGGCCTTGATCTCACAGATCCTACTGCCTCTGCCTCCCAAGTGCTCCCAGCACTTTGGAGGCAGAGGCAGACAGATCTCTGCGTTTGAGGCCAGACTGGTCTACATAGCAAATTCCAGGCCAGTCAGGGTTACATAGTGAAACCCTGTCTCAAAAAAAAAAGCCAAAAACCAAATTCTGATCTTGGTTCTGTCATTTTCAAACATATTCCCTGGGAAGCTACTTCTCAGCTGTGTAGTTCCACAAGTAGAGGCAATCAGTGGGGCCAGAGGTTAAGAGCACTGGCTGCTTTAGCAGAAGACCTGAGTTCAGTTCCCAGCACCCACATGCGACTAACCATTAGTAATTCTATTTCCAGGGGATCTGATGACGCCCTCTTCTGACCTCCACAGGCATTGCACAACACGTGTGCACTTGCATACATGCAGGCAATACACTCATACACATAAAATAGAAGCAATAAAATATTTTTTTAAAAGAGGCAATCAGTAATAGTCATGCTTGTATTGGGCTGCCGTTGAGACTCATGAAATAACAGACTTGCAAGTGCTTTGTAAACTCTTCAGGGATTATTTCAATGGGAGGAAGAAGAGACAGCATTGGATAACAAACTGTAAAGATAGATGTCAGAGGAAGTGACGGATGGGAACTGAAATCCCAGCAGATGTTTCTAGGAAAAGTCAACAGTCGGTAGTCACAGTGGCCGAGAGCTCTTGGATGCGCCAGGCACTGCAGGCTTTGCACAGGATGTGCCCATCCAGCGGATAGCAGCCTTGACACTCACCCTCAGAGGACAGCAGCAGCCCACACTCCTGTTGAAAGAAACAACAGCTTTTTATCAACCTAAGACCTCTGGGTCTTTTCCCCTTAACGAGCACTGCAGACTCTAAACCCCTTGCTCTTCCCCAGGGCCACTACCTCACACTTGTAACAGCCAATGTGAAAACTTCGATCCAGGGCAACGATTCTCACTGTCCCCTCCTGACCTGGTTCTGGCATGATGGCTCCACCACACACTGAGCACCGTGGAGCAAACTTCCTGGAATGGAAGGGAACAGGTCCTTTCAGGTCCCAGAGCTTCAGGGGATGCACAATGGAGCTCAGAGAATGTGGGAGGGAGAGGAAAATGGTAGGAGTTGGGGGTTTGATCATGGGTCTTGTGAACTGATGTCGAAGAAAAGAGGAGCAGAAGTTGGAAAAAGAAGGAATAGACCTTAGGGTGTGAAGGAGAAAGGCTAGAGCTAGGAAGGGAAGGTTAGGCATTCTGAGACCAGGCAGAACCTGTGGAAATCCTCAATGCAGTGGATCTGGCTGGTGGCATCCACTGTGAAGGGAATGCCATCTAGGCCTCGGTGGCACACCACACAAGTGAAGCACCCAGGGTGGTAGGCCTTTCCCATAGCCCGCAGGATCCGGTCCAGGATGGGTTCAGAGCATGTAGAACACTTCTCCAGGGTGGCCTGATGAGAAGAGGGCAGGAAGGTGAGAGAGGAGAGACCTGGTAGCTGGGAAAGCACACCACAGCCCACCCATCTGTGTGTATAGCTTCCTGCATGGCATTCAATAAAAGGAGGACTTGAGCCTTCTAGCACTGTAGCTTCTAGACAAGGAATTTAACCTCTATGAGCTTCCCTTTCCTGTAAGATGAATCAGTAGTAACGCCTGCTTCTTACGAATGTTACCTGACTTCCACAGATTACCTTAACTCTGAAATATGTTTTAGCTGGGCATGGTGGCACACAGCTGCAATCCCAGCTCTGGGAAGGCTGGGGGAGGAGGCTTATGACTTCAGAACCAGCATGAACTAGGTAATGAGAGTCTCAAAAACAGATAGGTAGGGCTGGTGAGATGGCTCAGTGGTTAAGCTGGCTGCTCTTGCAGGAGACCAGGGTTCAGTTCCCAGCACCCACATGGCAGCTAACAACAGTCCATAACTGGGACTCCAATGCCCTTTTCTGGCCTCTACAGGTATCACACAACATAGACGCACTTTCATACAAGCACGGTAAACACTCATACACATAAAGTTTTGGGACGTTTGCTGTTTTGTCTTTTTTGACAAAGGATCTCCCTGTGGCCCCAGCCGGCCTCGAACTCACCGAGATCTTCCTGCCTCTGCCTCCCAAGTGCTGCCACCACACCTGGCTTCATACACAAAAAGGTTTTAAAAATTAATTTTAAAAAAAGATAGGTAGAGAAATAGCCTCCCACTTGCATGAAATTTTTGCTCTTCTGTCCTTCAGCTAATACTTAGCTATTGAATTCCTTCTTTTTGGTCTGGGGCTGTAATTCAGTTGGTAAGAGTGCTTGCCTAGCACATATGAAGCTCTATATTCCAGCCCCAGCACCACATAAACCAGGCATGATGGCACATGCCTGGAATCCTGTACCCCAGAGATAGAGAGAGAAGGATCAAGAAATTAAAGATTGGGGCTAAAGAGAGGGCTCAACAGTTAAGAGCATTGGCTGTTCTTACAGAGGACTGGGCCTTGGTTCTTAGCACCTGTGACCCAGTTCCAATGGACTTGACACTTTCTTCTAGCCTCCCAGGGCACTGCATGGATATAGTGCACTTACATGCATGTACACAAAACATGCATACATATAAACTAAAAATAAATATTTTTTTTTCTGCTCTTTTTGAGATAGGGTTCCCTGTAGCCCCAGCTAGCCTGGAATTTGCTATGTAGACCAGGCTGGCCTCGATTTTACAGAGATCCAGCTGCCTCTGCTTCCCAAGTGCTGGAACTAAAGGCATGTGTCACCATGCCCAACAAATAAATTTTTAAAAATTAAAAGACATTCAAGGTTTTAGGTCTTCCTTAGGTATATACCAAGTTTCAGGCCAGCCTGGGCCACATGACAGCCTGTCTCAAAACAAGCAAACAACAAAAAAGAAAACTATGTTCTTCTGGATGACTGAGTGACTGATTAGTTTTTGGAAACAGGGTCTCCTGTGGCCCAGGCTGGCTTCAAACTCTGTAGCTGAGGTTGGCCTCAAATTCCGGATCCTCCTGCTTCCTCTGGAAAGAGTACTGAGATTACAGGCACAAATCACCAATACAGCTCCCTTCTTTCTTCATATACTTCAGCTTGAAGTCTCCAGCTTCAAGCCACCCACCCCACCCACCTCTCTGTCTTCTATGGATTGGTCATCTGGTCCCATTGATGGGAGCCCTCCTGCACGCCTCTATCAACCAACCACTTACCACATAGCAACTCTCACAGTAAGCCCTCCTCTCCACAGCATAGAAATGCTGGCCCCGGAGCTGGGCCCGACAGGTAGAACACACAAAACAACCAATATGGAAGACGCGGTCCAGGGCCACAACCCCAGCCCCATCTCCAACCACATCTTCTCCACAGCCACCACACCGACCTAGGGACAGGAAGAGACAAGATCAGCCTGCACAGACCCAAAACAGACCGGCTCTTCCCCTTTCCCATCCTACCCACCAGGTCAGCTCACCAAAGTACTCCCCGCTGGCCGGGTGGCTCATGTCGTGGACCAACTTCTTGGTCAGTCTCTCCAGTTCCTCTTCTGGAGGCTGGCTCAGGGGGACCTAAATTGAGAATCAGGGCTTCTTGGTGATGCTGTAAATAATCCCTAAGGTCAGGCCTCAAAAATCTCATCTGAGAACATAGCTCAGAAGCCAGTGGAGGACCTCTGGCCTCCTCCTCTCTGGACATCCTGACCCTTGATCTCTGACTATTCTAAAAACCAGGATTTTTTTTTTTTTCTTTTTCTTTTTGAAAAATGGTCTCATTGGGCATGGTGGTACACTCCTTTAATCTCAGCACTCGGGAGGGAGAGGCAACCAGATCTGAGATCAAGGCCAGTCTGGTCTACATAGTGAGTTACAGGCCAGCTGGGTGGGGTTATAGGAAGATCCTGCCTCAAACAAACAAAAAAACAACAATCGATAAATAAATAGAAATCAGAGTCTCATGTAGCCTAGGGTGGTCTGGAACTTGTTATATAGCCAAAGATGGCTTTAAGCTACAGATCCTCCTGCCTTCATCTCCATCATGCCTCACTTACCTGATACTGAAGGTTGAACCTGGGGCTTCATGCATGCTAGGCAAGCACTCTATCAACTGAACTACATCCTCCAGCCCTAAAACCAGTATCTTAAGTATCCCCCAGCCTCCATGACACCCGTTCAATGCCCAGTTAGTTACCTACAAAGACCCCAAGCCACACAAGTCCCATGACCTACCTGGAGCCCGAGTCCACCTCCTCTTCCTCCTCCTGCAGGGCAATGCACCCTAGCAGCTTCTTCCTTACCCCCTGGTCCTGGCTCACGGCTCCTATAGCCAGGCCCCCAGACTTCACCTCGCCCTAGGTGAGGAAAGTGGGGGCCAGGGAGAGGCCCAGAGGCCTGAGAGGTCCCCCTCCTAGGCAGGCCGCAGCCTCTCACAGGTTGAGCCACTTTCACTTGTACAGGGAAGGCGGGACCAGCTGGGGTGCTGGCGGTAGCATAGGAGGCTGGAGTTGGACCCCCATAGGGGGATGCTGAGGCTGGAGTCGGGCCCCCATAGGGGGATGCTGGGTGCATCGGAGGTGGACCTCCACCTCCGTTGGGCTTCAGGGAGCCTGCCCCGTAAGCAGGGGGTGGAGGGGGCTCATAAGCCTGGGGGCATAAGCAAAGCAGAGAGTGAGTAAGGCTGGATCCAGGACCTACGCTTGCCACGTGGGAACCCCAGGGAATCAATGGCTTTTGACAAGGTTAAGGGAGAGAAGGCCTGATAAACTAAGCAGCTCCTGCTTCCTCCAGGCTGGTATGTAAGAGGGCAGATGGAGAGTGGAAGGGGTGGACTGGGCCTGAGAATCCAAAGAAGGGAATGGAGGAGTGGAGACAGAGCCCAGGAAGTCACCTGTCTGTCTGGTCGTCGCTGGGTGTGACTGCGACCCCCGTCCAGATCCGCCAACATGCTGGTGAGCGAATCTATCTCAGCATCCAGGTTTCCGGGGCGGACAACCCCCCTGTCTGGGGGGATCCCCTGAGAACAGAGCCAAATCAGGGAGAAAGGATAGAGATCACAACCCCTTGGATTCCTCTCACCTTTGCTCTGGGAGGTGGACCCCCGCACATCCCACCTTCAACCCCAATTCTCACCTGTGGACGCTGGGAGGCTCCATGGGACCCCACCCAGGCAGGCCCCCTATCCTCTGGTCCCCCAGGAGGCTGGTAACATTGTTCAGATGGGAGGGGGCAAAAATTGACCCTGGGGTGGGGCTGGAGTGCTAAAGGAAGAGAAGAGAGGTGGGGATGGAGAACTGGGGGCACCTCGTGGAGGCTTACTTTCCTCCTCTGGGTGGTTCTCCTCCCCACGCACCTGGGGGTGGAAGGGCAGGGGCCGCAGGCTTGGTAAAAGGACCGCAGGGAGCAGGCAGGGGGGGCGAGAAAGTGAAAAAGCGTCGGGGGGGATCCCTTACCTGCTCCGTGGGCTGGTGGTGGTCCCAGGGAGCCACGAGGGTGCGCTCTCCCCTGAGGGGCTCTGGCCGGCTCTAGCTGCTTCGGGGGAAGCCAGGTGGGCCCCGACATGGCCTGGAATGGGGGTACTCCACTCCAGACAGGTCAGGGCCCCCACAAAACTCTGAGCTTGTAGCCTCGACCCCGTCCCCTTCCGGTCCTACAACTCGTTGAAGACTCCAGCAAAGAAACTTTCTGGCTTTTTTTCCCCCTTCCTCCCCAATTTTGGGGACAGCCACGCCCCCTGACGTCACCGCATTCCTAGGGGAGGGTCACGTGGCCCCCTAGGCCTTAATCTGCGATCCTTCCCTTTGCTGGCCCCCTCCTGCTAAGAGGGGAGGGTTCTCCTCCTCAGCCAAGTCACAGGGTGGGCTGCGGCTCGGAGAGCAAGGCTCAGGCCCCAGACAACTGGTCCCAGGATCCCCGCCCCAGGCCCCGAGTCCCGGTTCTGCACGTGGCAGCCTTGTGGCGGCTGTAAGGGGGTTGTCCCCACCCCCCTTACAGACGTCTTCCTTCCCACCCACCTCCCTCTTATCTACCCACCAGCAAAGTTCAACCAGCCCATAATGTTTTGGTCTTTTATTCCGGGTCAGCAGTTAGAAAAATAAAACAAAACACAAACATCACCACCTCAGGAAGTGGAGGGCGAGGGGGACAGTGCGTCTGTAGCCAGGATGGGGACACTGAGGTAGCCTAGAGTCACACAAGAGACCAGCCCCTCTGGTCAAGGCACCAGTGAAGGGAGCGAGGGGCAGGCTAGGAGGAAGGCTGCGATGCTCTGCCCTGCGCAATGGGGTCAGCCACCCAGAATTAGTGTACTATGTGACCCCTCCCAAAGGAGGCCAGAGGCCCCTTGAAACATCCTCCGTCGGGTGGGACCCATGAGAAGCCCGTTGTTCAGAATGGGCCTGGGCCCTCTGAAAGCAATCCTAGATGAACTGGCATCAGAGATCGGTACAGGTGACCGGGGTGACACCGTGAACAAGAAGAGTGGAGCCCAGGTCTCGACTCAGAGTCTCCAACAGCGCCAGGTAGCGGGGATAGCGGGCTGGATCAGCAGGAGGTCGAGGCAGGTAGAGGAAAGTAAGGGCAGTGGAGGGTCCCTCTTCCCCATCCCTTCCTTCAGGTCCCCCGGGGCCTCCTCCTGCGCCTCGCCCCTGCTGGGCCCGCACCAGGGCGTTGGCACTGCAAGCCAAGGCCTCAGCCTCTGCATCTCCCCTGCCACCATTCACAAAGTCTCCCTCCTCCTCCTCCTCTGGCTCCCCAGTCCTGGCCCCTTCGCCCCACACCACCTCTTGCACCTCAGCCCGGATCCTGAGTTGACTCAGCAGGGCCCGGAGCCTCCCCTCCGCTGCCCCAGGAGCCTCCCTAGACCCCAAGCACAAAAAGATCCGGAGTCGGGCACTGTGCCATGCAGGTACCATACTTAAGATGGTGGCCATCTGCAACAGGAAGAGGCCACAGACATCCACGTAGCCGGGTCCACCCCGGGGCCGCAGCAGGTTCAAGGGCCACACGTCCACGTGATGTACCTGACCGCTGCTCCCCGATCCCCGGCTCAGCCGATCAGGGGGCAAAGCCCCACAGGCGCGGGCCAAAACGACATTCTTGTTCATCTTAAGGGCATCTGCCACCGTGGCCACATAATCCTGGGGACTGAGAGCCCTGGGGCTCCCAGGAGCCCGTGGTGGAGGGAACAGGGTGCTCAGGGCTGGGGACCCTCCTTCTCTGGTCCCCTCCACCGGCTCGGAGAAGGCTGGGTCTGTCAGAAAATGGTCCTGGGGTGGGGCGTCATCATAGAAACCAAGGACCAACGTGTTGGGCTTCATGCCGCCTGGGGGCAGAGAGGGGAGGCAAGAAGGGACAGAGATCAGGCTATGGACTGAGTTCACCCTCACGCTAACATGCCCCCACCCACATGTGTGTCAGTCCTAAGCTATGGCATCCCACTGTCCTGGGCTCTTAAAGCAACACTATACACAAGTTTGCACAATGATTTAGCTTTCTTAAACACTTTCACACACATTTGTTTGATTATCCCAAGGACTAATCTCCACTTAAATAAGCAAAGCTTACCTTAGGAAAAACAAATCTTTTTTTCATACTGGAAATTGAACCTACCTACCGCCTTATACATGGGAGGCAAGCTCTATCACTGAGCTGTATTCCCCAGTCCCATCTTAGATATTGTTTGTTTAGGCTTTTGGTTGGTTGTTTTCTGTTTTGTTCTTTTTCCTTCTTCTTCTTTTTTTTTTTTTTTAAGAGAGAGGGTCTCACTATGTAGCCCTGGCTGTCCTGGAACTCACCATGTAGACCAGGCTGGCCTCAAACTCACAGAGATCTGCCTGCCTTCTGAGTGCTGAGATTAAAGACTTGAGCCACCACACATGAGGCTGGGTGTTTGGTACTCCTGATCTTCCTGCATCATCCTCCCCAGTACTGGGATTACAAGCATTTATCATCGTCACATGAAGTGTATGCAGTACTGAGGATGGAGCCCAGGGCTTCATGCATGCTAGGCATGTAATCTACCAACTGAGCCATATCTGCAGTTTGGAATTTTTTTTTTTTTTAACTAAAGAGCACTAGGGGTCTACAGGAAGAGTTTGCTGTTGTCTACTGCAATCTTTTAATTTTTTTAAAAAGATTCCTTTTTATTTATTTATTTATTTTGGTCTTTTTGAGACAGGTCTCCCTGTAGCCCCAGTTGGCATGAAACTCACTATGGGCCTCAGGCTGGTTTTGATCTTACAGAGATCTACCTGCCTCTGTCTTCCAAGTGCTGGGATTAAAGAGTTGTGAAACACCATGCCCAGCAGATTTCTTTATTTTTATTTTTGCTTTTAATTAATTAATTTTTTTTTGAGACAGGGTCTCCCTGTAGCCCCAGCTGGCCTAGAACTCACTATATAGACCAAGCTGGCTTTGAAGTCACAGAGAGTTCTTGTTTTGATCTTACAGAGATCTACCTGCCTCTGCCTCCCGAGCGCTGGAATTAAAGGCATGTGCCACCATACCTGACAATTTCTTTATTTTTATTTTATGTGTATGAGCGTTTTGTGTGTTATGGATAGAAGTGTATGCAGTGCCCAAGGAAGCCAGAAGAGGATGATGGATCCCCTGGTAACTGGAGTTACAGACCATTGTGAGCCTCCATGTGGGTGCTGGGAACCAAACTCAAGTACTCTGGAAGGGCAGCCAGTGCTCTTAACTGCTGAGCCAGCTCTCTAGCCCCTGTCCACTGCAATCTTTAAGCAGCACATCTTTTTCATTTTAGGAGATGTAACCTCAACCAGGCATGACAGACTGAATCTGTAATCCCAGCACTTGGGGGGCTGAGGCAGGAGGATTGCTATGAGTTCAATGCCAGCCTGGGGTACATACTTTTAGGCAGCTTAGGCTACAGAGTGAGACCCTATCTCAACCAGGAAAAAAAAATTAATTGAAAAGGAGATTCGAATTCAATTCCACTGGGCAAATGAGCCATCTTCTGTAATTCAGGCTTAAATTTGCAACCCTCTTTCCTTAATCTCCTGAATAGCTGGGATCACAGCCTGTACCACCAGACCTGACTAAAAACAGATAGCCTGCCTGATCATTCAAATTCATGACTTCAATTACCAGGGAAGCAGCATCCTAGACCTCTCCAAGGGTGGGTGGGGAAAATGCACTGGGCCTTGCAATTTACTCCTATTGCAAAGCTCTGAGGATGGTGTTCCACAGCCTGGTACCCATGAGGAAATAAAGTGTATCTGCAGGCTTACCAAGGGCCTGAATCCTGGAGCAAGAGCTTGTTACCTCCTTTGAAACTTGCAGCAACGCTATGAGATAAATATTATTCTTTGCCTTTTACAGATAAGGAATCAACCTCAGGCCCCATGCAGTGAAGTCACTGACCCAAAGCCTCAGGGCTGGTAGGGCATAGGCAAGGAGATGAACACTGTCTTCCCACACAAGAGGCTAGTCTCTGAGCCACCCAGCTGGGTGTGGACCAACCTCAATGTTGCAAATCACTGTCTTAGAAGCCCCAGTGGTGTAATAGATAAGGCACTGGCCTCTCAAATCTCTGTTCATAGTTTATGTGCCTAGGCTGGCCTTGATGGATCAGAAATCCACCCACCTCTACCTCCTAAGTGCTGCACCCAGCTAACCTTATTTTTTACTATTATTTTCTTGGGGGTATAGATGTTTTACCTGCATGTATGGAGGTACTCGTGTGCAGTGTCTGTGAAGGCCAGAAGAGGGTGTCAGTTCCCCAGAACTGGAATTACAGGTGGTTGTGAATCACCCAATATGGGCATTGGGAACTGAACCCAGGTCCTCTGCAAAAGCAGCAAGTACCCTTAATTGTTAAGCCATCTCTCCAGACCCACCTTACTTTTTCTGAGACAGGGTCTCTCACTGAACCTGCAGCTCATGGCTTTGGGTAGGCTGTCTCGCCAATCAGCCCCAACAATCCTCCTGTCTGTGCCCCTCACCCAGCACTGAGATTATAGAAGCTCACTGCTAGGCCCAGCTTTTTGCATGGGTTCTGGGGATCCAAACCCAGTTCCTCATGTTGTGCAATAGGTACTTTACCAACTGAGCCATCTCCCTAGCACCCCGTGTGTGTGTGTGTGTGTGTGTGTGTGTGTGTGTGTGTGTGTGGTATATGTGGATGTGTGCATGAATGTGTAGGTGCACATACATCTGTGTGCACATTCATGTAGAGACCAGAGGTCAAGGTCAGGTATCTTCTATTACTCTCCACCTTATTTTTTTAAAGATGTTTTAAAATTTTTATTATTTTTAATTATGTGTTATGTGTGTGTCTCTGTCTGTGTGTGTGTCTGTGAACTTGAGTGCAGATACCCAAGAAGGCAAGAGGCACCGTATCTTCTTGGAGCTGGAGTTACAGGCAGTTGTAAGTCACCCAACATGGGTGCTGGGAACTTAACTCAGGTCCTCTGCAAGAGCAATACCTGCTCTTAGCTGCTGAGCCATCACCCCAGCCCCTTCATGCCTCCATATAATTTTGTGAACACAGTGACCCCTTTGCACAAAAGCTGAGCTGGGGCTCTGAGGTACTCCAAGGACAAGTCACACTCAGTAACGCGCCAAACCTCTCAGCAGAAGGGAACTCCAGCTGCAATCAATCACCCACCATCCTGAGCTTTTACCAGGCTCCTGCTTCCAACTGAGCAGGGCAATGTCCAGTTCTGTTGATCTTCAGCCAGACTGCAAGTGGAGAAGGAGGTGTTCCTTCAGGTGACAGGCACTAGTCTTGGGGCTGAGGAGGCAGCTGAGTGTGGGATTGGTGGTGCCTCGGGGAGGCTTGCATTAAAGGCTGGAGCCAGCCTAGTAGCACAGGCCTGTAAACCTAGCTACTTGAAAGTTAAGGCAAGAGGGTCTCAAGTTCAAAATCTGCCTGTGCAACTTAGTGAGACTGTCTCAAAATAAAAAGCGAAAAACAAAGGGCTGAAAATGTAACTCAGCAGTATAGCACCTGCCTAAGATCCCCCAGTGAGGGGCCGGGGGGTGTGGCTCAGTGGAAGACCACCTGCCTAGAATCCCCCAGTGAGGGGCCGGGGGTGTGGCTCAGTGGAAGACCACCTGCCTAGAATCCCCCAGTGAGGGGCCGGGGGTGTGGCTCAGTGGAAGACCACCTGCCTAGAATCCCCCAGTGAGGGGCCGGGGGTGTGGCTCAGTGGAAGACCACCTGCCTAGAATTCTCCAGTGAGGGGCTGGGGGAGTGGCTCGGTAGTAGAACATCTGCCTCCAAGCATCTGCCTAGAATCTCCCAGTGAGGGGCTGGGGATGTGGCTCAGTGGTAGAACACCTGGCTAGAATCTGAAGTAAGGGGCTAGGGTGTGACTCAGCAGTAAAGCATTCGCCTAGCATAATAAGCAAGATCAGAGGTTCAATCCTGAGTAGGGGTTGGAGGGGTGGGTGTGGGTATAGCAAGTGTCACAGAGCTGGCAATGTTCCACTCTATCAAAAGGCATCACCCCCATACACCCTCCAGCATCCTTCATGGTAATAAGAAACCCAATATACCTCTTCCTACTACATTGACTGTATTTTGTTGGTGGTGGTGGTGGTAGTAGGGTCTGGCTATATAGCCCAGTCTGACCTAGAACTTCCACCTCAGCCTTCTGAGTACAGGATTGCCAGCATGTGCCACCATACCCAGCTTCCCTATCACAAATCCTCTTCAGCCTGACTCAGTTGGCATCTCTCCACAAAACCTTTGCTGACCACATCAGTATTTAGTGGCCTTCCTTTCTTTCCAACTTTGGTGGTTAGAGACCATGTATTTTATCTGTAGCCACACCTCCCAAACATATCAGATTTCAGAAGCTAAGCAAGGTCAAGCCTAGTTAGTATTTAGATGGGAGAAACTCTATTTTGTTTTATTGTATGTTTGTTTTTATTTTTGTTTTCATTTTTTTGAGACAGGGTCTCCCTGTAGCACCAGCTCACCTGGAACTCACTATATAGACCATGCTGGCCTCATTCTCACAGAGATCTGCCTGGCCTCCTGAGTGTTGGGATTTAAGGTGTGTGCCAACGCGTCCAGTTTGAGCAGCTCTGTTTTGATGGGGTGGCCCAAGACTCAAATAATTCTCCTACTTTCCCTAAAAAATACTCTTCAAAGCCCAAATACTCTCTTAATTTTTGGATCAGTGAAAAGAAGGAACGAGAGCTAGGGATGTGGCTTGATTGGTAGAGTGCTTATGTAGCGTGCATAGAGCCTGGGTTCCATTCCCAGCACCTCATTTCACGGTGGGGCACACCTATAATCCTGGCCCTTGGGAAGTGGAGGCAAGGGGATTAGAAGTTCAAGGTTATCCTCAGCTACAATAGTAAGTTCCAAGCTAGCCTGGGCTCCATGAGACCATCTCAAAAAAATTAAAAGAGGGGAGGGCACTGACATGTCTCAGCAGGTAAAGGCACTTGCCACCAACCCTGATCACCTGAGTTCGATCCCAGGATGTATGGAGAGGAAGAAGAGAACCAGTTCCAACAGTTGTTTTCTGACTTCCACATGCTCACCATGGCACATGTGCCCCCACCACATACATACATACATACATACATACATACATACATACATACATACACACGAAATAAAGGAATAAATGTAATTTTTTAAAAAGCCAATCACACGTATCAGTACATCTCCCTGTCTATTCTGAATCTTATTAGACCTTATGGCCTGCTGCCTGCCATTGTTATCTTTGAATACAGTCTTATCTACACTGTATAGTGATTTCCTTAGCAGTTTGCAATCTAGCTGATTTCCTGGACAAATGGAACAGAGATTGAAAGGGGCCTCTGAAGCAGCCTGAAGGGAGTGAGGGTGTAGCAGCTCACCAAGGCCAGAGATCCGCAGCAGATGCTGAGCCCCCTGGCGCACAGAGGGTGAGAGGGTGAGATCTACGAAGGCTTTCACTTGGGCACGGTCCACCAGGCTCAGCCATGCCCCATACTGTGGCTGTACTGGATCTGATGGCAGGGAGTCTGCAATGGAGGTAAAGAGAGAAGAGGGTAATAGGCACAGAGGCACAAGTGGGATGCCAGAGCTCAGGGGGCTGAGGCAGGAAGATCACAAGCTCAAGGCCAGCCTGGGCTACATAGGGAGACCCTATCTCATACAAAACAAAACAAGAGCTGGTAATGTAACTCAGTAGTGGAGTATTTGTCTAGAATGTGCAAAGTACTGACTTCAAGCCTCAGTACTACAAAACAGGAGAGAGGGGCAGGAGAAAGGAAGGAACAAAGGAGGGAAGGAGAGAGAAAGGGAAGGAAGAGAGGAAGGAAGGGAGGGAGGGAGGGAGGTAAAGAGAGAGGGAGGGAGGGAAGGAAGGAAGGAGGGAAGGGAGGAGGAAAAAAGGGAAGGAAGGGAGGGAGGGAGGTAAAGAGAGAGAGGGAGGGAGGGAAGGAAGGAAGGAAGGAAGGAAGGAAGGAGGAGGGAGGGAAAAAGGGAAGGAGGAAGGAGGAGGAAGGAAGGAGGAAGGAAGGAGGGGGGAGGGAGGAGGAAGGGAAGGAGGGAGGAAGGAAGGAAGGAAGGAAGGAAGGAAGGAAGGGAGGGAGGGAAGGAAAAATGGAAGTGCAACTATGGGCCAAGCTAATTTATTTTTTACTAGAGCTGGGGCTATAGTTCAGTAGTAGAGCACTGGCATAGAATTTCCTAGTGAGTAACTGGGTATGTAGCTGAGTGGTAGAGCACCTGTCTAGATCCCTCAGTGAGGGGCTGGGGACATGGCATAGCACTACAGCTCCTGCCTAGACTCCTCCATTGAAGGCCTAGGGACATGGCTCAATGGTAAAGCACTTGTCCCAGTAAGGGGCTTGGGAGTGTAGCTCACTAGTAAAGCACCTACCTAGAATCCCCCAGTGAGGGACTGGGAACACTAGCATGAGCAAGGCCTTGGATTTTTAAAATTACTCTTTCACTGAGTTCAAACCCCACATGGGTCTAGACTTCATGAGGTACCTGAGGTAGCAGAAAGGAATAACAGGATAGAGTGAGAGGGTCACTCACCAAGGTCTCCCAGGGTGACATGGCCCAATACATAGAGCCCCCCCTTCTTTAGTTGATTGGCCAACCGCAGCAGAGGCAAGGCACCTCTGGGGTTTCCCACCAGGAGCAGCAGCTGGGGCCTCCAGAACTTCACATGTTCCTTTCGGACATCCAAGCGGAGCAGGTACTTCCGCACCTGGGAAGTGGAAGGAGGTGGCCGAGAGAATGAACTCCAGTGAGCTGGCACCATTCAACTCTTCTCAGACAAGAACACCAACTCCTGTCTGGATGGGAGCTGGGGTGCTTTCCAAGACTTTCACCCTTCCTCAGGGGTTCCCCACCTGGTGGAACAGCAAGGCCTGGCTAACGTAGCCCCAACTGCTGGGTCCTCCTCGTGCGGTGAGAAGAGCAGAAAGCAGGCCCATGAGAAGCAGGGACCCGCCAGCTGCCCCAGGGCTGATGAGGAACATCATGAGTAGACAGGAGGCCACCCCCAGCAGGCAGGTGTGCCAGGAGAACAGGCTGAAGGTAGGGCTGGGATGGGTAGAGAGAAAGAAGAGAGAGAACTCAGGGCTGGTCCTGATCACCTGCCTGTCACTCCAGGCTCCAGCCTACCCCTCCATTCCACCCCTGGGGCTCAGTCCTTCCTAGTCTTCCACCTTGTCTGGTAAGGTATCTGTTTCTCACCGGAAGTTGGGGGCTGAGGCCCACTCCAGACTCAGGCATGACAGGTCCACTGCAGCATAAGCCACCAAGTAGAAGACAGTGACCACAGCAGCCAGCGTGTTCAGCTTCCCAGCCAGCAGCACCAGCTGCATAAGGACCAAGAGGCAGGCATTAATCCAAAGTGCCAATGCCAGCTGGGCGTGGTGGCACACGCTTTTAATCCCAGCACTCAGAAGGCAGAGGCAGGTGCACCTCTGTAAGTTCAAGGCCAGTCTGGTCTACATAGTGAGTTCCAGGCCAGCTGGCACTACAGGGAGACCCTGTCTCAAAAAAACCAACAAAACAAATAATGTCAAGGCTCCCCCTGCAAGGTCTTTGTATCTCAAGATGTGCCAAGGAACCATATACAGTGCCAAGACACCACACACAATCACACATAGTGCCATGGTGCCCCCAAGAAGTGTCAAAGTACCCCACAGAATGCCAGAGCATTCCCAGCTCTCAGGATATAGGGCAACAGTCTCTCAAGTTGAAGTCCAACATGGGTTAGACAGTGAGTTTAAGGTCAGTCAGAGGTATACAGCAAGACTGTATCTCAAAACACAAAAAGATGAGGGTGGGGGATAGAGCCCAATGGTAGAAAACTTGCTTAGTATGTCCAGGACACCAGATTTGATTCCTAGGACTGCAAAATAAATTAATGAGTTAAATGTGGTTGTGCACGCCTTTAATCTCTGCACCGGGGGTAGGGGTGGGAGGCAGAGGCAGGTGGATCTCTGTGTGTTCCAGGCCAGCCAGGGCTACATAGTTAGATTGTCTCTAAATAAATAAATAAATAAATAAATAAATAAATAAATAAATAAATAAATAAATAAATAATAAAAATAAGCCCATGTTCTCTTTTTCTGTGTTTTTTTGTTTTGTTCAGTTTTTTGTTTGTTTGTTTTTTGTTTTTGTTTTGTTTTGTTTTGTTTTGTTTTTTGTCTTTTTGAGACAAGGTCTCCCTGTAGCCCCAGCTGTCCTGGAACTCACTATGTAGATCAGGCTGGCCTCGAACTCACAGAGATCCACCTGCCTCTGCCCTCCGAGTGCTGGGACTAAAGGCGTGCGCCACCACGCATGCATGTATGTAAAGGCATTCATGTCATTAACGCCCGAGTGGCCAAAAAAGGGCATCAGATTCCCAGAACTAATAAACAAACAAACAAACAAAACCCTGTGGGGAGGAGGCAGGTATAATACATGCCTGTAACTCTAGCACTTGGGAGGCAGAAGCAGAAGGCCTGCAGCAGGTTTGAGGGCAGGTCAGCCAGTGCTACATAGTGGGACACTCATCAAAATAAAACAAGTTCTGGAGAGATGGCTCAGTGGTTAAGAGCACTGGCTGCTCTTGCAGAGGACCCAGGTTTAGTTCCCAGCACCCACATGGTAGCTCAAAACAATCTGTAACTCCAGTTCCAAGGAATCTGATGCCCTCTCTGGCAGTTGTGGGCCTTGCACAACATGGGTGTACTTACATACATGCAGGCAAAACTTTCATACAAATGGAATAAAAATAGATTTAAAAAAAATGTTTTTTAAAAAAGGAAGACTTACCTGCACTAGGCCCCAGGAATACAGGACAGCACCCCAGGGATTGCCCCCTCCAGACACCACCTTAGCAGGTGCCAAAATGACTCCTGTAAAGATAGAATCACATCAGATGAGTCAGCCTGGGCCTAGGGCAGACCAAGAAAGACCAAGAGGTTGAGCCTGGAGCCAGGACCAAGGACACTGAAGGGAACACACCAAAGAGGTCATCCTGGGCCAGGGCATGCAGGATTCGGGAGGCGCCAATGAGAGAGCTCATGGAGGCTGAGAGTGCGGTGGCATAGATGCCAATCAACACAAGTGGCGGCCACAGGCTGATGGCACGGAAGAATCCATAGTCTTCCTGTAGCAGGGTTCTAGGGGAGAGGAGAGGGAGAAGGAAAAGGCTAATCAATGAACATCATCATAGGGTCCTCATGAGTAAAAGTGCTTATGACACTGTATGGCTAAAGCTGTGTTTTAAAGGGGCCTTGTAATTCCAGCACCCTGGAGGTAGAGACAGGGCGATTGGGAGTTCAAGGCCAACCTCAACTACATGTGAGTTTGAGGCCAGCCAAGGTTCCATGGGACCCCCGTCTCAACAAAACAAACAAATGGATGGCTGAGATGGCTCAGCAGGTAACTGAGCCTGCCATCAAGCCTGAAAACCTGAAGTCAATCCCCCAGAAGAATAAAACCAACCTGAAAGTTGTTCTCTGATCTCTATATGCATGTCGTGATACATGCACACCCACAAATACAAAAAATAAATAATGTTTTTAAAAAACCAAAAAACAAATAGGTGTGTTGGTGCTTGCCTTTAATCCCAGCTCTCAGGAGGCAGAGGCAGGCTACATAGTGGGTTTCAAGTCGGCCTGAGCTACAAAGTGAGAACCTATCTCAGAAAATAAAAAATAATGGGCTGGACATATGGCTCAGTGGTTAAGAGCACTGGGTGCTCTTGTAGAGGACCTGGGTTCAGCTCCCAGCACCCAGTATGGGAGCTAACAACCATCTGTAACTCTGATTCTAGGGGGTCTGATGCCCTCTTCTGGCCTCCATAGGCATTGCACACATGTGGTACACTTACATACATGCAGACAAAACACTCATACAAAAAAATAAAAATTATTAAAAAATACATTGGGTATATATTAATAATAAAAAAGTTCCATAGTTTTTGTGAGGTTTTTGTTGTTGTTGTTGTTTGCCTTTTTTGAGACAGGGTCTCCTTGTGGCCCTGGCTGGCCTGGAACTAGCTCTGTAGACCAGACGGGCCTTGAACTCACAGAGCTCTGCCTGCCTCTGCCTCCAGAGTGCTGGGATTAAAGGTGTGCAGCACCACACCTGCCATAGTTTTTTTTAAAATGGCATTCAGTCATGTGTGGTAGCATGGTGGTGCATACATTTAATCACAGCACTCGGGAGGCAGAGGCAGGCAGATCTCTGTAAGATCAAGGCCAGCATGGTCTACATAGTGAGTTCTAGGCCAGCTGAGGCTACAGAAAAAAAAGAAATCCAAAAAATGGAGCTGGGTCCTAGGCCAGGCATGCTATTTGTGTCTGTGATTCTATCATTCAAGAGGCAGAGACAGGAGACCAGAGTTCAAGGCCAGCATGGAGTGCAGTGCAAGATCCTATCTCCCTAACAAAACAAAGAACTAGAGAGATGGCTCAGCGGTAAGAGCACCTGCATCCCAGGACCCACTTAAACCAAGTGTGGTGGTAACTCCAGTGCTGGGGTGGGGGGATTCAAGGGCAGAGACAGGAGGATCCCTGGGGCTAGCTGGCTGCCAGTCTAGCCAAAACTGTTGAGCTCCAGGGAGTTCAGGGAGATCCTAGAGGAATAAGACACAGAGAGATAGAGGGTACCTGATGCCCTACTCTGGCCTCCAGGAGGGCAGGTGCACATATACCACTCACATATACCGCTCCCCCCAATGCATAACACTTTTTTTTTTTTTTTTGGTCTTTTTGAGACAGGGTCTCCCTGTAGCCCTAGCTGTCCTGGAACTCACTATGAGACCAGGCTGGCCTTGAACTCACAGAGATCTGCCTGCCTCTGCCTCCCAAGTGCTGGGATTAAAGGCGTGCGCCACCACACCTGGCACATAACACAATTTTTAAAATTAAAACCAAAACAGAGAAAGAGCTGAGTCCTCCCTGCTGACTGCATCCCTCATCTCTAGGACGAGATTGCTACTGTGTATCAAACCCAGGATGTTCTCTTGGCTTTCATTATCTTTGAGCTACTTGGGTTTCATCATTCCCAATAGCACATTTATAAGAGGCCAAAATTGTGTACAAATACAAATTATTAGAAAGGTGAATTGGGCATGCTCTGTGCTCGCCTGTAATCCCAGCACTTCAAGGCAAAGACAAGAAGATCACACATTCAAGGCCAGCCTTGGCTACATAGAGAGTTCTAGACCAGCTTTAGCTACCAGAAACCCTGTCTCAAAGCAAACAAACAAAAACAATGAGACTGGGGATGGGAGAAACGGTTCAGTGATTAAGAGCACTGGTTGTTCTTGCAGAGAACCCAGATTCCGTTCCCAGCATCCACATGCAGTTCACAACTGTCTATAATTCCAATTCCAGAATATCGGGCACTGCACACATGTGATACACTTACATACATGCAATCAAAACACTCATACACATAAAAATAAAAATAAATAAGTCAAATGAACAATGAGGCTAGAGAGGTGGTTGAACAGTTAAAAGTCCTTGTTGCTCTCACAGAGGACCAGAGTTCAAATCCCAGCACCCATAACTCACAACCACCTGCAACTCTGCTCTCTGGGGATCCATTGGGATCCAATGCCTTTTCTGACCTCCATGGGAACCTGTACTCAGGCACACACACTCAAAGTGTTTACAACTGGTGACAGAATGGCTCTGGCCACGTAACCAGTCCTCCTCATGGGTAACACCCGCCTTCATCTCTCAATGGGAGAAACCTGCTCCAATAACCCACCCCATTGAGGGTCTAGCCTCTCCCTCTCCCTCTACCACCCACCTGTCACAGGTGAAACTGGAAAGGAAGAAGAGCAGGATGTAGATGAAGAAGGTGTAAGCAACAGCAACAATTGTGCCCAAGGGAATCGCACGGCTGGGGTCCTTCAGCTCCCCTGGGTGGAGGGGAGCACACAGAAAGAGGTCAACCCTCTCATCATCCCCCTACATCCCTCAGTGTGGCAGCCTTACCACCACCACCACCCCGACATACACAAGAGCAGTTCTCACCTGACATGTTGGCCCCAGCCATGATGCCAGTACAACCATTGAAAAGGACAGCAAACACACTGGCAAACGTCATCATGGCTCCTGTGGTGTAGTCCTCAGCGTAGCCAGCTGAGGGGTTTGTCCCCAGGGAGGAAAAGGTATCAGTATTAAGAATCTAGGCATGACCTGCCACACCATTTCACATTCCACAAATGTTCCCCTTCCCTCCACTGCCCTCACTGAGCACAGCATCCTTGTGTTGCCTGCACCCCATTATCATCTCTCCCTTCTTACAGGCGAGAATGCATTCCTCTTTCTCCTGAATTCCACCACCCAGCTCAGAGCGTCTCAGGGTCTCCTCTCCCCTGCCCCCCCGCCCCATCCCCAGCAAGGTCAAGGTTAGGGCTCCTCTCTCTGTTTGAACCACACTTGGAGTCTTTATTTCTCTCTCCTTCCTTCCTTTTTTTGGTTCTTTTGTTTTGTTTTGTTTGCTTTGTTTCTTGGCTTTTTGGAAATAGGATCTCACTAGGTAGCTCTGGCTGGAACTTGCTATGTAGATCAGGCTGGCCCTCAAACTCAGAGATCTGCCTGCCTCTGCCTCCCAAGTGCTTGGACTAAAGGTGTGTGTCACCATGCTCTGCCTTCCTTTTTTTTTTTTTTTTGATAGGGCCTTGTGTAGCTCAGGCTGGCTTTAAACTCATTAGTTAGCCAAGGACGACCTTGATCTTCTGATTCTCCTACCTTCACTTCCTGAGTACTGGGATTATAGGTATGTACCGCCATGCTTGGTTTATGTGATGCTGGAGCTGGAAGCCAGAGCTTTGTGCATGCTAGGCAAGTACTTCACCAACTCAGCCCCAGCCTAGTTCCTCCAAGGATTCTTTTTAGTTTTAGTTTGGGGTTGTTTGTTTGTTGTTTGTGTTTTGAACCTGCAGTACTAGATATCCTGGAACTCGCTTTGTAGACCAGACTGGCCTCAGTCTCACAGAATTCCACCTGCCTCTGCTTCTCCAGTACTGGAACTAAAGGTGTGTGCCACTATGCCCAGCCAAGGATTCTTTTTTAAAATGATCTATTTGCCGGGAGTGAATCCCAGCATTCAGGAGGCAGAGGATGATGGATCTCTGAGAACGAGGCCAACCTGGTCTATATAGCAAGTTCCACGCCAGCTGTAGCTACAGGGAGACCCTGTATCAAAAAATAAGACTTATTTTTATTTATCTTTATTTATTATTATTTTTAAAATATATTTTATTTTTATTTTACAAAGTTTCATGTTTATGAATGTATTGCCTGAATGCATGTAAGTGCACCCATGTCATACAGCTATACAAACTATACAAACTGAACCATTTCTCTAATCCACTTCTTAGTCATTCTTATCTCAGAGAGTGATGTCTGAATCCTTTATTTTGGGGGGTTTATTTTTATTTTTATTTATGTATGTGTCTGTGTGTGGGTATGCCAGATGTGTGCAGGTCCCTGAGAAGGCCAGAAGAGGGCATCAGATCCCTCTGGAGCTGGAGTTACACAAGATTGTGTGGGTGCTGGAAACTGAATCCAGGTCCTTTGCAAGAGCAACAAGTGCTGTTAACCGCTGAGCATTTCTCCAGCCCTTCCTCCAGGGATTCTAAAGCCTACCCCTCACTCAAGGCCCCAACACTATAGTGTTCAACTCACCGCCCAAGTTATCCTTCAGGGTGCTGCTGTTGAATCCAGTGAAATGGCCAAACCGAGGTGGCACAGAGGAGCTATTGACACCTGGTCGAGGAGCTAAGGGGACATCCCTGGGTCCCACTGCCACAAAGCTGACCAGCACTGACGCAAGGGAGCCGGAAACCAGCAGGAATGTAAGGAAGGAGGCACGGGCATAGAGTCCTGCTCCCAATGTGCACACACCACCCACTAGGCCCAGTAGCAGGGAGCCATAAAGCAAATTCCAGCCGTAACCCTGGGGTAGGACTCGTAGCCCGTTGGAGCCTGTGGCATCTAGAAAGAGGTAGGGATAGAATTAGAAGGCCTGACCTCAAGAAGCCTCAACTATGACCCTTCCACGCCATCTGTCCACCTCTGTTCTCAGGTTAACCCCAGCATCTTAGTTCTCCCTGGCGTGTACCAATTTTACTATGTCAGTTTACAGAATATTAGGCTGTTATCTCTGACTAGAACCAGGTGTGTCCAACCTTTTGATATCACATGACATCTACAAAGTTCACACTCAAGAACTGTGCAATCAAAAAACAATTCACAAAGGGTGGGTGAGCTGGCTCAGTGGTGTCTGTGGCCAAGCCTGACAACTTGAGATCAATCCTGGAGACCCACATGGTAGAAGGAAAGAACTGATTCCCACAGATGTCCTCTGACTTGTACACACAGGCTATGGCACACATGAGCATGTATGCAAACACACATTCACACACATAAATAAATGTAATTAAAAAGTAATTAAAAGAGCTGGCCATGGTGTCACACTTCTATAATCTCAGAACTTGAGAAGTGGAGGCAGGAGGGTGAAGGGTTCAAGGCCAGCTTCTAGAGTGAGTTCAGATCCTTAGCACCGTTGTAAAAGCCAGGCACAGTAGCAAGGATCCTTAAGCCAGTGCTGGTACCACTGAGGCAGGCAGATGCTGGGAGGTAACTGGGAAGGCAATGTAGCCCATCAGTGAGCTCCAGGTGCAGTGAGAGCCCCGTCTCAAAAAAAAGGAAAAAGAAAAGAAAAAGAAAAATGATGAAGCCAATCATGGTGACCCGCACCTTTAATCCCAGCCCTCAGGAGGCAGATGCAGGCAGATCTCTGTGAGACTGAGGTCAGCCTGGTCTACACAGAGAGTTCCAGGCTAGCCAGGGCTACACAGTAAGACTTGTCTCAAAAGTAAAAAACAATAAAAGAAAAAATAAGCATCTAAAAACCTCTCATAATGTTTTAATTAAGTTTACAATTTTGTGTTTGGACTATTCATAGATATCCTTAGCTACATGTAGTCATTTGTGGCCAGAGGGCTGCAGGCTAGACACATCTGGTGGCTCTAAGCTTCCCTGTACACAGTGCCAATCAGTGGGATCCCCACAGGTGCTACAGTGGCAGACCACACAAAAAGGGAAGGGTCCAATAAGTGCATCTTCCTAAACCATGTTTTGTCCTTCATGAGCCCACAACCCCACACCCCAAAACCTCAGCATTGCCTAGACCAGGTTGTAAGGAGAGCACAGACCAGCCCCGAAGACATCCAGAACAGACTCCACCAGTCCCAGCAGGGACACGGCACAGCCGCAGACGTTGGCGAGGTAGAACATGAGGCCAATGCTGCCACCAACCTCAGGCCCCAGGGTCCGGCTGATCATGACTAAAAATGGAAGCATTAAGGGAAAAGAAACAGAAATGGAGGAAGGAGCCATGGGTCAATCTTTCTGCATTTGGCATCCAGGCCTGAGCTACTGCAAACATTAGCTCAGCTCCCTGTAACAATGTACCCACATCTTGTTTCTGCACAATTGACATACACTGGGAGCTCCACTTTCTTCCTCTGGCCAGGCCAGTTCTTTATCCTGTGCTGTAATTCCAGCCTTCTTATTTTCATTTCATTTCATATTTATTATTTTCATTTTATGTGTATGAGTGTATTGCCTGAATGTGTTGGTGCACCTGTGTTGTGCAATGCCCTTGGAGATCAGAAGAGGGCATTGATCCCCAGGAACTGGAGTTAGAGATGGTTCTTAGTTACCCTGCGGGTGCTGGAAATTGAACCCAGGTCCTCTGCAAGAGCAGCTAGTGCTCTTAACCACTGAGCCATCTCTCCAGCCCCTATTTTTTGTTTTTTTGAGCTAGAGTTTCACTATGTAGCTCTGGCTGGCCAGGAACTTCCTATATGGGCCAGGCTGGCCTCAAATGCAGAGAGCCACCTGCCTCTGTCTCCTGAGTGCTGGAACTAAAGACAGGCACCACCGCCACGTGTGGTGGCGCAGGTCTTTAATCCTGACACTCGACACTCAGGAGGCAGAGGCAGGCGCATCTCTGTGATTTCAAAGCCAGCCTGGTCTAAATAGTGAGTTCCAGGCTAGCTGCGGCTACAGGGAGACCCTGTCTCAAAAAGAAAAAAAAAAAGCCATGTGCCACCACACCCAACAAATAAAATCTTTTGCTTTAAAAAAAAAAAAAACAGCCTGGTGTGGTGACTCACACCTGTAGTCCCAGCACTTGGGAGGCAGAGGCAGGGGGGTTGCTGTGGGGTTCACGCCAGGCCGGTTTACACAGTGTGTTTCCCGACCAGCGGGGGTACAGGGGGAGCCTGCTTCCAAAAAAAAAAAAAAAAAAAAAAAAGAAAAAAAAAACCCAAGTAACTGATGACATTGTTAAGAAAGCAGATAATGGTACTAACATGGGGCAAAGTGCTGGTCACAGTCACCATCCCTGCCTGCCTGTTCATCAGGCTGGACCTATACTCAGATGGAGGATATGGGTGGGCCCCTTCTACCAAACAGAACAGCGGAGGCCTAGTCCACCCATGTTGAAGGATACAGTAGGCTCCACCCCCTCGCACAGCTCCATTGGTGGCGATGGCACAGACAGAGAGGACAGTGAGTGCCAGGATGACATAGGCAACCAGGAGCATGGCCAGGGCCTGCAGCAGCCCAGCATGGCCCACCACAAACCCTGGATAGGAGGAGCAAAGCAGTTCACAAAGCCAGTCACATCCTTCACCCCAACCCACACCCCACCGGGCAGTCCAGGGGAGTTCCACGAGTTTCACAGCAGAGCTACACACAGGGCCACACACGGGGTCTCTTCATCTACTAGGGACCCCTCCTCCCCAGCCTCAGTCAGTTCTCTACCCAGAAAGTCCTCCCCAAACTCACCAATCCTGAGGAAAACGACTATACTGAACATAGACAGGACTGTGGGGACCACCACACCCAGAAAGGTGGAGAGCTTGCGGGCAGAGGCCGCCCCAGGACCTCCAGCCCCATGGGCAGGCAATGCAGCCCCTTCTTCCCCCAGGAGCCGGTAGGCCAGCAGCGGGGAGCTCTCGCTGGCCATGGCTGTGAACGGTGGAGGAAGCCTCGGATGGGCTAGGTGGCCTGTAGAAGAGATTTTTAGTGCATGGATGGCAGTTCCACGAAGCCTCTCCTCTTAAACCAAAAACAAACACCCACATCTTCCCCCAAAAAGAGAGTTGGAAAGGAAACAACACACACACACACACACACACACACACACACACACACACACGGAAACTCAAAAGTACCCCAGCGACTTCCCCACGATGGGGCACACTGGAGCACACCTCTGTATGCGTATCAGGGTCCCTTCCATCTCCCGGGGACTGCACCCCCCGTATCCCTCGGACTAGAGGTGACAGTGGATCTTCAAAAAGGACACGGATTTCCCCCCTCGGAACCCCTCTCCTGACAGTCGGGTGTCTCCAGCCTCTCTCCTTAACTAGCTGTCAGAGGGGAAGCAAATCTCCCCAAAGGGAAGTTAGTTGCCACCCGTATGCACCTCCCCCTCCAATCCTGAGCTGCCCCCTCTCAAGTTCCCCCCACCTCATCCACGGGCAATAAGAAACTTTCAAATCTTTAAAGCCCCAGCCTTCATCACTCTTGTCTCTCCACCCATCTCAAGCCCTGTCCTCTCCAGATCCCAACCAGATTTTTCTCATCCCTGCGAGGCGCCCCCACAAACTCTATCAACCCAAACAGAGCCTTCGATTGTCCAAACGCACAATGCAGGGCTCTTGCATCGCGCCACACAAGGGTCCTCGGAGTCCTCCTCCCCCACCCACCGGCCCCTGTCCACTTGCTTCTGCATACTGGATGCCTGGGGGCCTGGGATTTCGCTCCAGCCGGCCAGGCGCACCCTGCAGCTGGGTGCGGCAGGGGGTTCACTCACCACCCAAGGCACGCAGCTGCTCCGGGGTGATCCCCGCGAGTCTGGGGGTCTCCGCCACGCAGGGAGGGAGGCCCTGGGGGCCGGAAAATGCAAGCCGGCTACCGGGATGCCAGGCCCGGGAGCCTGCCCTCCCCAGCAAAGCGTCCCATTGGTCCTGGACTAAGCCCCGCCCTCCGTGGGAGTGGTCTAAGCAAAGCCCCGCCCCCACGCTCCCCTAGATGCCAGTTCCTGCTACAGACTCCACGTGCGCACCGGTGTCATCTTCTGTAAGGCTGTGGGTCACGAACCCCCAAGCTCCCTCCGTGACCCCGGTGCTAACTTGCTCTAGGTGCGGATTTGACCCCCTGGAGAGGCTAGTACTAAAAGGGGGGGTTGTGGAAGTGGCCTGGAGTGGGCGGGACCGCGCCACCTGGCTCACTCAGGTGAGTGGCTGGAGCGACGTCGGTCGGGGCCTTCCGGAGTCGTACTTTGCCAGTTTCTCCGGAGACCTAGAACGTCCTGCGGGTCCCAGCCTTGTCCCTTTCCCAAGGCGACCCTCCCCTCGCCCGGTTGCAACCCACAGCCGGCGCTCTTCGCTTCGGCCACCGGAGGGAGCGCCGAATCCCCCATCCAGTCCCAGGTCTTGGTGCTAAAATGCTCCAATTCTCAAATAAAGGCTCCCTCCTCCCTCTTCTTATAGGTCCCGCCTACAGCAACGTTTCGTCCTGTGTAAAACGAGAGTTTACTAGAAGTCCCTTCCTAAATTTGAGCACACAAGCTTGAGCACACACACACACACACACACACACACACACACACACGTGGCTCTACCAGGGAAAGCTCTTCTGAGCAGCCGAACTTTGGCGTTTTCATTTGCTACCCATGTTTCTATGACGGTTTTTGATGTTTTGTGACTTCCAACACCTTTGCCTTGACTCTAAGGATCTCACCATCTCATCCGTTACCTTGACCAAGTACTCCAATAAAGTTGTACTCTGTGCCCCTTTGTGTGTGTTTATTCTTTGTAACATGTTCTCGAGTAATCCCGGCTCTGCCACTGAGGACGACCTTGAATTCCTGGTCCTCCTGCCTCTACCTCCAGAGTGCTGGGATTATAGGTGTGTGCAATCATGCCTAGTATATTTTTTTCTTGTTTCTGTTTGTTGCTGTTTTCTTTATTTGTTCAGTTTTTGGTTTTGAGACAGAATCGCTTATAGCCCCGGCTGGTTTCAAACTTGCTATGTCCCTCAGATGACCTTGAACCTCTGATCTTCCTGCCTCCACCTCCCAAGTGCTAGGATTACAAGAATGTATCACACCAGATTTATGTGGTACTAGGGATGGAACCCAGGACTTCATGCTTGCTAGACTGGCACTCTGGTGTCTGAGCTACAACCTTAGCCCCTCATTTTGTTGTTGTTGTTGTTGTTGTTGTTGTTTTTTAAAGATTTATTTTATTTTTAATTATGCATATGTATGTGCCCCTGAGTGCAGTTCCCTCAGACACTTGAGATGATGTAGGATCCCCTGGAGCTGGTGTTACAGGTGGTTGTGAGCCACCTGATGTGGATGCTGGGAACCAAACTTGGGTACTCTGTGGAAGAGAAGGAAATGTCCTTAACCACTAAACCATCTCTTCAATTCCTGTTTGTTCCTTTTTGAGACAGGGTCTCACATAGCCCAGGCTGATCTGGAACTCCTGATCCTCCTGTCTCAACCCAGCTCAATCTCATCGCTATAAACACCACTAATATTATAGTGCTGTAAGGGTCTCTCTCCAACCCAGATCTCTATTTTGAACTTAGGACCATATATGTCCACTGTTACCAAGGAAAATCTCACCCCATAAGATGTCTCCAGGGAGCCACCCAGAACCAACTCCAATGTCCAAAATACTATCAGTGTAGAATCACAGTCCTTTCGTAAGGGGTCTCTCTCCCTTGAGGTGAGGAAAAACCTAAATTAACTATAGTGGATGTGGTGATGCATGTCTGTCATCTCATCATTCCAGAGGCTGAGACAGGAGAATCAAGCATTCAAGGTAATCCTCGTTAACATAATTTGAGGCCAGCCTGGGCTACATGATTTCCTACCTCAAAACACCAAGAAGGAGGAGAAAGAAGTGGGGGGAGGGTGGTGACTGAAATGGCAAAACTAACTTTACTTAAAAAAAAAAAAAAAAAAAAAGGCCGGGCGTGGTGGCACTCACCTTTAATCCCAGCACTCGGGAGGCAGAGGCAGGTGGATCTCTATGAGTTCGAGGCCAGCCTGGTCCTCATCATGAGTTCCAGGCCAGCCGGGGCTACAGGGAGACCTTGTCTCAAAAAGACCAAAGGGGGGAAAAAAAAAAGTCTCACTGTGTAGCCCTGGCTGACCACTATGTAAGTATGTATGGCTGGTCTCAAATTCAGAGAGATCCACCTGCCTCTGCCTCCAGAGTGCTGAGATTAAAGCATTTATTTATTTTTATTTTATGTGTATGAATGTTTTGCCTGCATGTGTGTGTGTGTGTGTGTAAGTATAGCACATGAGTGCAGTGCCCCTAGAGGCCAGAAAAGGGCATCAGATGCCCCAGGGCTGGAATTACAGTTATGAGCTGCCAAGTGGGTATTGGGAACTGAACCTGGGTCTTCTGCAAGAGCAGTTAGTGCTCTTAACCATTGAGCCATCTTTCCAGCCCCAGCTTCACTAACTCTTAATTGACTTAACAATCACAGCTGCTGGAGGCCGCACACTGGACAGTCCATGATTAGACACCCAGTAGCTTTGCTGAAGATAACATTTCTGCTGTGTATGGGTTATGATAACAGTTGTGGGGTCACTTTACAGGATTGTAAAGATTGCTTTTGCTATAAACAAGGACTCTTTCCTTGGGCTAGCCAATGTCTTATGGGTGGCTGAAACTGGATGAGAAGGTTTGACATCTGCATTTCTTTCTTTCCTCATTGCTGTGACAAAATACCCTGACAAAAGCAACTTAAGAGATGAAAGGTTTATTGTGTCTCCCAGTTCTCAGAGATAGAGTCCTTCATGGTGGGAAGGCATGGCGGCAGGAGTGTGAGGCAGCTGCTCACATGGCATCCACAGTCAGGAAGCAGAGAGATGAATGCTGGTGCTCAGCTCCCTTTTCCCTTTTTATTCAGTCCCGAGTCTTTGGGATGGTGCTAAGTGGAAGTTAAGGTCTTTCCACCTTGATCAACCTAATCTAGATAATCCCTCACAGACATGCCCAGAGGCTTGTCTCCTTGATGATTCTAGATCCTGTCAAGTTGACAATTGAGATTAACCATCAAGTGTCTACCTCTGCTTTGCCACCTTAACATTTCAATCAAATCCTACTGAACCATCTCTATGTAGACATATTGTCTGAGAAATGCTTTGTTCAAAACTATAACACAGGGTTAATCTAGACTTACTTAGTCTCTTGAGACTCCCTTCAAGGCCAAAGACATCTATCTACCAGCCTCAAGCTGGGCCCCATAGCTCATGTCTATCATCCCAGCACTGGGGAGGCTAAGGCAGGCTGCAATGAGGTCAGCCTGAACTACAGAATGAGACTCAAAAACAACAGCACCCCACATGGTGGCTTACTACCATCTGTAACTCCAGTTCCAGTGGATCCAACAGCCACTTCTGGCCTCTACTGGCATGGCATGTACATGGTACACTTACATACACACATTCAAAACATTAAAATGAAAATAAAGAAATAAAAAATAAAAAAGCCCACCACCAACAAAAGAAAACAAGTGAGGGGGCTGGAGAGATGCTCAGTGGTTAGAGCACTGGCTGCCCTTGCAGAGGACCCGAGTTCAGTTCCCAGCACCCACATGGCAGCTCACAACCATCCATAACTCCAGTTTCAGGGGATCCAATGCCCTCTTCTGACTCACAGGTGCACTTATACACATTTACACCCACTGGGGCACAACACACACACCTATAAAATAAAAATAAATAAGAAAACAAATGAGCGTGTTGAGACATCACATCTGTAATCTCAACACTGAGAAGACAGAGGCAAGTGGATCTCAAGTTCTAGGGCAGCTTTGGCTACATAGCCAGACCCTGTCTCAAATAAATATACAAAATCCATTCCAGTGTGGTTGTAGAAACCCCCTGACTCGCACTCTGCAGTGAGCTACGGTCGACAGAGGCCTGGGTCTTGCACCTAACTTGACTGTGTGCGTTCATGCGCATACACACACACACACACACACACACACACACAATCCCCCCACCCCCACCCGCCGGCAGGTAAGGGAATATGGCGGCACCCGGAGTGGCTTCAGAAAGAGGGCAACCAACGAGAAGATGCTGGTGTGCCAGAGCGTGCACACCACCGCCTTTTCTGTGATTGCGTCCTCGGTAGGCGGGAATTCTGTGTCTACGTGCTGGTCCTCCTCAACATTTTTTAAAGAAAGAAACAAAAAAAGGTCTAAGCCTCCGAGACAGCTACATCTGACCTGCCTGCCACCTCTTTACCTCTTGAGAGCCCCTTGATCTGAGGCAAGAGGATGATTCTGTGGTATTGAATACCTGGGGTTTTCTCCTTTTGTGTCAACTTCTTGCTAACCTGTTAAGCGACCTCAGGGTGTCAGCCCAGCCTCTTCTTCCCAAACACACACATAATCAATCTGTCCCCTGGACGACCAGGAAGTTCAATCAACCCGAGTTAGACCTCGAATAATCATTTCCTGGCGATGCCCCCAATCCTACTCCGGACATCCACCGCAAGCTCCCCAGGATTAAGTCTGGTGACTGTCCCCCGCCCCCTCCACTGTTTCCAGGTCCCTTGGGCAGATGAGCCCTTGGCCACCACCCCTCTAATTTCCTGCAGACCCAGCAAACAAAAGGCTTGGGGAAGGGAAGCAAAGTGGAGCAGAGCGCCCTTCCTGTAGGACAGCTGATAGAGCAAAAAAGCGGTCCAGGAGGGAGCAGAGGGAAGGGATGGCATTCCAGGATTCCTCTAGGGACCGACTCCTGGATCCTGGGGAGGGAGGGTATCAAGGGAACTTGACTGTACAGGGCTGGGGAGGAACACCTGAGTTTGCTAGCTGCCTTGATGGGGTGATGTCAACCTCAGGGAATGGAGGGGGTGGGGAAATCTTGGGGTTCAGGTGCGCTTTTTGGCTCCCAGATGAGAATGGTGGG